GCCCACCTTGCATTGCAAGGATGTTTGCGGGCATCTGGGCAGGGGTGATAGCAGGGCAGGGCTGGGACCCACCTGGGATGAAGCCCGGGGGTAAATCTGCAGGGATGTTTGGGGACTGAGGACATGGGAGCCCCACGGACCCCCCGCCTGGGACGCCTGGGGTTCCCAGGAGGTGGCTCAGGGCGTGGGCTCTGCCGTGGGCTGGCCTCGGGCCAATGAACCTGCTCCAGGTCACAGAACGGGACTTCTGCTCTGTCTTTCCCTGGAGGCTCCACAGAGACTTGCGACCCAGGCGGAGCCCCGCCCGGCCTGCGTGGCGCTTGCTCTGCCCGTGGACAGCGCCTGAGATGGGGCCGAAGGTGCGGCCATCGTTGTCGCCCTTGCGGGGCTTTAAGGGCCAACCCCGGGGTCAGAGCGGCCTGGAGCCCAGCAGGCCAAGGCGGCCCTGGCTTGGGGAAGCCAGTGGGGCCCTCCTGCCCAGTCCTGGAGGCGGGCCAGTTCTCAAGGCTGGACTCTGTCTGCTTTGGGACCATTTTGCCCCCACCCCAGGCTTGTTTACACTCTACCCCAAGGGTCCCCTGGAGGGCGACGCGGTGGGCTGGGGTCACTGTGAGCACAGGATGGGAACCAAGGCCAGCAGGGAGGTCAGGGAGTGGGTGCGCACGTCTGTGGCGAGCGGGCGGGGGTCGGGGCCGGCTGTGGCTTGCCGGCCTGCGGGCAGTGGGCGGCAGGAGCGGCCCTGGGTGACCGTGTTTGCAGGTGCGAGGGGGGAGCCCCCGCCGCTGCGCCCTGCAGCCCCCTGAGCATCTGCTGAGCAGGGGCCCTGAGCTGGCCCCCGGGGGCTCCAGGCACCTGCTTGTCCGATGGCCCGGGCAGGCCCAAACCCCACCCTCCCCCCGCCCCCTTGCCTGAGGATGGGCCGAGCCTAAGGTCTCCCAGGCCGCCCCGGGGACTCCGCCCAGGCAGGGAAATCTGAAGTTCTCTTTGACTTTTATGGTCCCTTTTTTCTATTAAAATGCTCAGAGCTGTAAACGTCGTCGGGAGGAGGTTGACAAAGTGCAGCTCTACCGCGTCGTGCTCCTGCAGGCGCCTCCGCGGCGGCCTCTGCTGGTGCCGCCAATCCCGGGCAGAGCGGCATTGCCGGCCCGGGAGAGCGTCCGCAGCCGGTGGGGCGGAGGTTTATGAGGACGTGGGGGACGCACTCGCCTGGGCCCTGGAGGCGGGAAGGCCAGGGGGTGGGAGAGGACTCTGGTGTCCTGGGAGGACGCCCATCACTCTGCTCCACAGCCTCCTTTGTAGCAAGTTCCTCTCAAAAGACGGTGGGCTCGGACCCGGGAATCGGGGCGTGGCCTCGTCCCTGTGCCCCTCCCCTGTCCTGGCCCTGCTGCGCCCACGGGCTGGGAGGTGGGCGCTCCTAAAGCGCTGCAGCCCCTGCGTCCTCTGCGGCCCCGCGGCTGGCAGCCCTGTGAATGCTACAGAAAAGGCATCTTACAAAACGCTGTTGTTCCTTTTTTGTCTGCCTCCCTTCAGCCGAATTGTTGAGATTCGTCCCTGATGTTTTGTGTATTGATCGCTCATTTCTTTTTATTGCTGAGTCATTGGGTGGATATACGAGGCGGCCGCCTGTGGGCCCGTTTCCCGGGGAGAGGGGATACGCCCGGCGGTCGCCCGTGGGCGTGTCGATGGACACTCGGGCGTCGGCAGTCTCTGGGTGGTATGCGTGTTCTCTCTTGGGCGAAGCCTAGGGGTGGAATGGCGGGACCCCATGGTAGATCACCTTGTCTGGATGGCGACACAACCCCCTCAGGCTGGGGGCTCACGCACCAGATGTCTCTTTCTCGCTGTTCTGGAGGCGGGGAAGCCCAAGGCCAAGGTGCTTGGTCAGGACGCGCTTCCCGGCTGCAGGTGGAAGGGTCTGAGCCCTCCTGAGCCTCTGGAACAGACCCCCGGGCAGGGGGGCCACCAACAAGCAACAGGGACGTGATGTTCCCGGTTCTGGAGACTGGGAGTCTGAGGTCAGGGCGTCGGTGGGGTCCGGTGAGGGCCCTCTGCCTCTCCCGGTCTCCTCGCCTGGGGGAAGGGGCTCTGCACGAATCCCATTCGTTGCCCAGGGCTCCTCCCCCAGGACCTGTCTCCTCCCCCAGCTCCATCTCCAACAAACGGGGTGAGCTTTTTAAGAGATTGATTGCACCTGCCCTGGCTGGTGTGGCTCACGGGATTGAGCGCTGGCCTGCGAACCAAAGGGTCACTGGTTTGATTCCCAGTCAGGGCATGTGCCTGGGTTGTGGGCCAGGTCCCCAGGAGGGGGCGCGCGAGAGGCCACCGCACAAGGATGCTTCTCTCCCTCTCTCTCTCCCTTCCCCTCTGTCTAAAAATAAATAAATAACATCTTTAAAAGAAAGAAACTGATCGCACCGTTTTACGCCCCCGGAGCAGCAGCCTCTCCAGCTCCCGACTTCCCCGACTTCCCTGATAGCTCACGGTGCTGGCGTCTTGCCGTCAGTGTCCCTTTAGTGAAGTATCTGTTTTGGTCTTTCACTCATTTTTAAAGTGGGTTGATTTCTGTTACTGAGTTTTGAGAGTTATTTTACGTATTCTAGACACAAGTTTTTTTTATCAGGTAACTGATGTGCCTGTATTTTTTTTCCTAGTCTGTGGCTTTTCAAAAAAATTCTCATAACCCTGTTTTTCCAACTTCAGGAGTTTTTAAATTTCTGAAGTCCAGATTATTTATTCGTATATGGGTTATGTTTTTGGTGTCACACGTAAGGTTGTGTACCTAACCCAAAGTCCCCAAAATGTTTTCCTATGTTTTCTCATAGAAGTTTTATAGTTATAAGCCTTACATTTACATCTCTTACCCATTTTGGATTTTTTTTTCTTTCTTTGTTAATATGGTGCAAGGTATGGATTGAAGTTATTTTTTGTTTGTTTTTAATATATGAGTGTCCACTGGTTCCAATACCATTTGTGAAACAATTATCGTTTCTCCACTAAATTCATTGCCTTTGCTGGAAGTCAGTTGATCATATATGTGTGAGTCTATTTTTGAACTCTGGTTCCATTGATCTATTTGATTCCTATAGCTTTATAAGAGGTCCTAAAGTCACATACTTTAAGTCTTCCCCCTTGTTTGACGTTGTTTTGTTTGTTCCAGAGTTGTTTGGGCCATTCTAGTCCTTTGCATTTCCATACGCTTTTTAAAATCAACTTGTCAATTAAAAAAAAAAAAGCCTACTGAGATTTTGATTGAGGTCATAATTCAATATGTGGTACAATTTAGGGAGAACTGACATCTTAACAATGCCAAGCCTTTTCATGCATGATGACAGTATGTCTCCCTCTTTACTTAAGTCTTTACATTTTCCTCTCAGCAGCATCTGGAGGTTTTCAGTATGTGGGTCTTACACAGCTCTGTCATTTTTACCCTGAGTATTCCTTATTTCTCCGTGCTATTGCAAGTGGTGTTTAAACATTATCTAAATTGCTGAATGTTGGTGGCTTAATATATAGAAATACAACTTTTTGTATTTTAACCTTGCATCTTGCGACCTGGCTGATAAACTCATTTATTAGTCCCAAAAGCTTTCTTTGTAGAGTCCATAAAAAAGATTTTTTTATGTAGATGCTACTGCCACCTACAAACGAAGGCACTTTTATTTTTTCTTTCTAAGCTGGAGGGCTTTTATTTCTTTTTCTTGCCTTATTGCACTGGCTGGACTCCCAGCCCGGGGAGGGGGACAGGAACGGCGAGGGTGCACACCCTGCCTCGCTCCCGATCTCGTGGTGGCGTGGGAGAGCCGTCCAGCTGCCGTCAGGAAGTATGGGGCCAGCTGTTGGTTTTTATAAATGACTTTTATCAGGTTAAGGAAGTTGCTTTCTATTCCTAGATTGCTTAAAGCCTTTGTCTTGAATAGATGTTGAATTCTGCTCAGTGTTTTTCTGCGTCTATTGAGGTAACTATATCATGGCTGTTTTTTTCCCCTAATTGATATTCAAATGGTGAAGTGGCCTTGCATCCCTGGGATAAATTGAACTTGCTCATGTTGTATTATTCTTTTTATTATTGGATTGACTTGCTAACACTTTGTTACGAATTTTGGCATCTAAGTTCAAGAGAGATCCTCGCTGGTCTCTGGCCATGCGGCTCTGAGTGGGGGTGCCTGTCGCCATCAGGGAGGCTCACGGGGCCCACGCGTGGCGGAGCGGCACCGCCCCTTCATCAGCTGTGGGTAGTGGTGATCCCCACAAAAGCAGGCTTTGGGCAAGCAGGCACCCCTAGCATGGGGACACGTGCGTGGGCCCGGGGTCCCTGAGAGGCCGCCTCTGCCTGCCCACCCCCCGGCCATGTGGCATCAGCTGTCAGGGAGCCCTGAGCTGGGGCGCTGGGATTCGAGGGTGTGTCAGGGTCCCTGCCCGCCTGAGGGGCAGTGGGGACGCGTATCAAGGGCCAAAATATTCCTGCCCTTCCTAATTCCCACCAGGAGGCCCGTTTGCAGAAGCTCCCCTGCAGAAATGCTTTGTGATGTGGAAATGGCTGTATCTCCGAAGACATTCGGTGAAGCAAGCGCTGTGTGCGCATCAGGAAGGAGGGGGCAGAACCTGCATTTCGGAGAGGGGGGTTGGCTGAGGGAGCGCCAGGGCTCTGCTGAGGGAGACTCCGCGGCCATAGGAGTGACTCACGAGGCTCTGGCAGCATCGGAAGAGTCCGCATTCCCTTGAGTGAAAGTAGAGAAACAGGTGAGAGAATTCTGCATGTCGCTGCGTGGAACTTTTGCCCAAAGGAAGCCGACGTGCGACAAAGGGTGGCTGGCTTCTGGGTGATGCCCGTCTTTGGCTTCCTCTAGTTTCCGAGATTTCTCACACGAGTGTCCGTTCCTTTTGTGACTAAGGCCTCACAGCGAGAGCGGAGAGAGCAGAGGTTGCTGCCTCCCTGGCCGGCCCTGTGCACCGGCGGGCCAGGCCCACAGCCTGTCTCAGCAGCGCCCCCTGTCTTCCAGGCTTTGGGATCCATCACTGCAGTGCCTGTCACGGGTCCTCAGGTCAGCTCCTTGCAGAGGCTGGCCGGGCAAGGAGCGGCAGTGCTACCTCAGGTAAGTGGCCCGAGGCTGGGCCCCGGTTGCCTGTCTGTCTGTCCGTCCGCCCCCGTGGTCTCAGACCCCCACCCCTTAGCACTGAGGTTTTGGTGGGCCCCGAGCTGGGCGGGAGCCCCTTCCCTCGCTCGGCCTCCTCCTGTCCTGCAGACGCAGGTTTCCCAGCGAGGAGGTAGGAAATCAGGTTCGTGGGTCACGACCAGGGTGTTTTGAGTGGAATAGACCAGGCCAGACTAGAACAGAACAGAAAGCATCAACATACACCACAGCGTTGTTTCTTGACTAACTTGTTTCTGGGCTGGGTCAGGAAATAATCACGATTATTAAACCGTGGGGTCACGGTCAAAGAGTGAGGCTCTGGACGAGGTGACTCAGTTGGGGATGCAGGACGGACGCTGGACCCGGTGCCCTGGGTTCTGCTCAGAGCCCCCGGCCGGGCTCCGCACTCTGGGCGCGTCCCCTGGCCGCTCACCTTGCTGGGCTGAGTCTTCCCCCTGCAGGGGGCTGGGTCAGGTGCCCCTTTGGGAACCATGAGAACTGAGTCATGTGGCACGAAGCCCCCACAGCCGTGCTGGGGACAGAGCCAACGCCTGCTGTGTGTACCGTACTCTGTGGGCAGGGGAGCGGCCGGAGGGCTGGACAGATGCCCCCAGCTTAAGGACAGCGAAGGGCAGCTGTCCTGGGTCCTCTTGTTCTCATGGCGGCCTCTGCCAAGCATCCACTGGAGCTGAATCCGACAGGTTCCTGCTCCTGAGAGACTCAAGTCTGGCGGGGAGGACAGACAGACAAGGGAACAGACACTCTGAACCCAGGGTGATTGGGCGAAGTCAGCAGGAGGCACGGGGGTGGTGGGAGCCCTGAGGAGGCCCACAGTCCACCTGGGGTTCAGGGAGGGCTTCCTGGAGGAGGTGGTACTCAAAGCAGGCCTCCATGGGTGAGAGGTCTTGGCAAACCTCAGGGAGCAAGCACCCAGGAGAGGGATCACCGAGCGCAAAGGCGCAGGGGTGAGAAAGCGAGGCGGGCGGTGGGGAGGCCAGCATGGCGGTCCTCACAGCACGGGCGGGGCGGTCAGAGGTGAGGCGGTCGACGGGGCCTTTGGGGGCCTCGCCAGTCAGGCCACAGAGCTGGGTTCCACCTTCCAGGGACCCGCAGGCCATGGGGAGCTGTGGAAGGTTTGGAGCAAGGGCGTCAGGATTGGCGCTCCTGATTAGGAGGGGTGCCATTTTCCTTGGAGTTCTCGCTCTTATGTGCACCCCTCACTCGTGAGAGTCTGAGCCCCGCCCCTCTCCTCACCTTAACATGGGTTCACACACATGCACACACATGCAGGCACGTGCTCTCTTCATGATCACTCACCAGCGGCCTCCGCACCTCCCCCAACCCTCTTCCTCTTGCCCCATGTTTGAGCCAAACCCCGTGCCCCCGGCTGAGCTCATGTGCGGTCTGGCGCCGCTCGCCCACAGTCGGGTCGGGATGAGGCGGCCGTAGCCGGCAGTGCAGACCAGAGCCCGGGGGCAAAGCCGGGAGGCCGGAGGAGCACGGGACAGCCCTCCCTTGGCGTGAGCTGGAGGTCACAGCTGGGGTCTTTGTCTGCGGGCCCCCTTCGGGGGCAGGGACCGCCGTCCCTGAGCCGGTCACTGCTGGCAGCCTCCGCTGGCAAAGGCCGCAGTCTGCCTGCCGTGTCCACATGCAGTGCGCGTGTGGGTGTCAGAGGGCGCTTTGCTGTTTGGCAACCTGATGCGACAGGGTCACGCTGCGTCCCGTCCGCCCGTCTTGTCCACCTGTTCCCCCTCCCGCCCTGGACTGCACCTTGTACCTGCATGGGGCTGGGAGGGACTCGGGCTTAGCGTGGCTCCTCCTGGGCCCACGACCCACCAGTGCTGGCCCAGGGCGTGGGCGGCCTTGGTGGGCCTGGCCTCTGCTCTCGTCCCCCCGCCCGACACGGGTGGTCTCTGGGCCAGGTACGTCCGTGCCCGGCTCTGTCCCCCGTATCCTGGCTCTGCCCGGGCTGCCCGTTCCCTGTGCCTGTCATCACCCGCCGTGGGTCCGTCTGACTGCGCGGCTGTCCCTCCCCCAGGTTAGGCCAAAGACTCTGATTCCAGACAGCCTCCCCGTCACCCCGGGCCGGGACCGGCCGCCCAAGCAGCCCCCAGCACTGCAGAAGGCCACCGTGGTCCGCGTGAAGAACCCCAGCCCAGCCCTCCCCACCGCCAACAACACCGTGAGCCATGTGCCGGCGCCCGGCAGCCAGCCCCAGACGCTCACCGAGCCGGCCGCCGTCGCCTCCCCTCTGAGCAGCGCCGGCGTGGCCTACGCCATCGTCTCCACCGCCCCCAGCCATGCGGCCACCATCGCCCCCAGCAGCGCCGTGTCCGTGGTCGGCGACAGCGTCAAGGTCCAGCCCCTCCTCATCAGCGCCGACAACAAGGTGAGGGCGAGCCCGCGGGCAGGCTCGGGGTGCGCCCGCATGCACGGGGCTGAGCGAGTGGCGGGATGCAGGCGGACGGCGGGGGTGGGCGGGGGCTGCGGAGGGTGGACGGGGCACGAAGGAGCGAGGGGCCCAGGGAGTGCGCCCGCACAGGAGGGCGCGAGGGCCCCGTCCATGGCCTGGTGATTGGAAGACTGCGTGGCTGGGTGAATTCACTCCGGCCAGAAACGGCTGGGCAGGGAGTGAATCACTTCGTTCACTGGAACAGTCAACTAAAACTACTACATGGAGCAGAAGTGGGGACCGGAAGAGAGCCCCGCCCTGGTGCCGGCTCTCTGCGGGTGCAGCTAGGCGGCCAAGGGCTTTTTCAGACCCCAGATGTCTGAATGGAAAAACCTAAGATTCCTTGCTGAGATTTAAAACTAAAACCGAGACTGCGTCCCTGTTCCCCTCCTGGCTGCTTCTCACGGTGCTTTTGGAGGCCTTTGCGGCTGCAGAGAAGGTGCCATTTCCTCTCTCGGGCTACTTTTTCTGATCCCCGTTTGGGGTCTGCCAGGCTGCCCCCCTCCTGTTCATGGCCGGTGTCCCTTCCACTCCACAGCCTGGATGTTGGTGTTCCCCTTTCCCGCCACCGTGTGTCAGTGCGTACAGGGCATCTCCGGAGGGTCCCACTTCGAGCCCTCACACCCACCGGCCATGTCCCCGGGGAATCCAGACCCCGGAGGAGTTATCAACAGGCTGCGGTCGGGTGGCAGGTCCCGGCGAGGAGATGCGCGACCGACCTGCGTCGCCGCAGCCTCACCTGCACTCCGGGCTGTCATTTTAAACCCTTTTTGCTCATTTAATCGGTGCACACGGGCCCTTGCTATTAGAAGTTGAATTGCTGCTGGTTATTAAGCCTGAATGTTTTCCCTGTACTTTTCATGAACTTTGTCTCCTTCTGTGTGACTCGTGTGAGGACATTCTTTGCCCTTCTTTCTACTGGGGACCTTGATGCCTTTCTCCCTATGAGTATAAAACGGGACGTTATTTTCCATCCAGAGAATTCTGGGGTTTTACAGCTGGGATACAGGGAAGAGCAGGAGCCTTCCCTTAAACCAGCAGAAAGCCGGGACGCGTCTTCCCTGTGCGCGCAGGATTCACAAGATTCACAAGACAGTCACCGCACGTTCTCAGCGGGGAAATGCAAGGTCAAGTTACTCCTGGCTCATTGCCCGACCCTGGCTGGCCATGAATTCCTTGCCCTGATGCATGAAAGAGAGCGATTCTTTCCCAATTGCCTGTCCAAAAATAAATAAGTAAATGAAACGGTCAAGCCGCAGGTGGAAGGGGTTCGGCCCAGGCAGAGGCTGGCTGCGGGAGTCCGCTTCAGCTCTCCTGCTTCTGGCCCTTTGGTCAAAGCCGGTGACGGCCGCAAGCCCCAAGGCGGGCCAGCTGATGCAGGGCTGCTCTGGGTGATTCTGGGGTGGTCAGGAGCCCACCTCCTCCTTCCGCACACCCCCGCCCTCCCCTGGGCTTGGCAGGGCTCCTCAGAGCAAGAGAAGACTGATTCCTACCTGCGCTGCCCCCCACCCCAGCCGGGTGTGACCGCCTCGGACGCTGCAGCCTGGGGCCCAGGGGCTGGGGCGGGGGCAGAGAGAGATGACAGCCCAGGGCAGCGTCCCAGCCCCTCTGCTCCCCCCGGCCTCAGTTTACCCGCCTTTGAGCTGGGGCTAAAGACCCAACCTCTCTTATCCCTGCCGCCTGGAACTTAACAGCCTCCTGGGATGGGAGTGGCGAGGCAGCCGAGGACAGAGGCAGAGTGACCTCGGAGCCCTCTCAGCTGGCACACCGTCGGGCAGGCGGTCCTCATGGGGGAGGGGCTGCTGGGAGGCACGCATCCCCCGCGTGGATGGGAGAGCCGAGAGCAAGCCTCCCCGGCCCCAGGACCCCCCCACGCGAGGACCTGCTCCCTCCAAGCCACCGCCTGCCCTCCCCCAGGCTCTGTGGAGCCTGCCCGCAACCCCGGACCCTCCCCGCCCCCGCCCCCCTCACCCCTCACCCCTTTTTCCAGGTCATCATCATCCAGCCTCAAGTGCAGACGCAGCCCGAGAGCTCGGCGCGTTCGCGGTCGCCCACGCAGGAGCTGTGTCAGGGAGCTCAGGCCGTCAAAAAGAAGGAAGACCAGCCCCCGAGCCAGGAGAACCCCGAGGTAGGGCAGGTAGAGCCCTGAAGAAGGATGAAAGGGCTCACTGCACCTCCCAGGGCAGCCACGCGCCCTGCTGGACCTATATGGGGCGCGACCGAGTCCGGCCGTTCCTTGTGCAGCTCTGGGTTACAGCAAGTGACAGTCCTCGTGCGGCCGCTCCCATCCTGGGCCCAGATCAGCCCTCTTGGCCTCTTTCCATGTGGCTGCCCCCTTTCCTCTCCTGCCAACCCCTCATTCATCTTACGTTTCCCTTCAGACACTGCCTCCTCCAGGCAGCCTTCCCTGACCACCTGCCCAGCGGGCTGAAGAGGCCCCTCTGGCTCCCCTGGAGCCTACGACGTTTTTTATCAGTGCGCTGTCCTGACCAAAAGAAGCCACCGCCTGTGCCTTCAGCTGCTTGTCGAGCTCGCCTGTGCCGAGGGTGGGGACGCTGAGGGGGTGAGGCGGTCCCGGCCCCAGGGCAGCCCACTGCTGCAGGCAGACCAGCACGGCCACGAGGACAGGGGGAGGGTAGCAAATGCAGCCTTCACCAGATGGTGACGGGTCGGAGCCCTGGGAGGCCGGGGGAGGGCCTTGTCTCCCCCGGGAAGGACCAGCGGCTCACCAAGGGGGCGTGGCAGAGGGGCGGGAGGGGCGGGGCGACAGGGCAGCCGCACAGAGCTGGAAAGGACGCGGCTCCCCCAGCAGGTCGGCGGTCAGTGCGAGGGCCCGGGAACGTCCCTCCGCTGGTCTCAGTGGGCGCCAGGGCCCCATGCCAGCGTAGGGCCTGAGCGTCCCCGGGTAGTAGGGACCTGTGGCGCGGCTTGAGCAGCATGGTGACTTGATCATTGTCCTTTGTGTGCCCAAGAAGCCTGCTGGGCTTCATAGAGTCGGCCCCTCCCCGAGGCTGGTGTGGCGCCAAGTATCCTCAGTGGCCCCTGGCACAGTTTTGTCTCAAGACAGACAGTGCCGTTCCATGGCAGCGTGTGAGCACCTGCTATGTGCATGGTGAGGTCTGGCTCTGGCTCAAAGCCCAGGGCTCCCACAAGCTCCCCTCTGTCCCCCGTGGGGTCTTGTCACACCCTGAACCTTCGGGAGGGTTTTCTGGGTGGATTCTTTGTTCTCTCAAAGTTATCTTAGTCGATTATCGTGCACTTATACAATTAGCATAATTACATCTAAGTACATAATTAGCATAGCTGTGTGTAATGGCTTAAATAGAACTTACTGTTACAGCGCACCCCGGGTCGAAGTCCTCACCAAAGTTCTTATTTTTTAATTTTTTAAATAGTTTACTTATTTATTTTTAAAGAGGTGGAAAGGGAGGGAGAAAGAGGGGGACAAACATCGATCGGTTGCCTCTCACACGCCCCCAATGGGGACCTGGCCCGCAACACAGGCCTGTGCCATCAGCTGGAATTGAGTGGCTACCTTTTGGTCTGCAGGACGATGCCCGACCCACTGAGCCACGCGGGTCCGGGTTGGAAGCTTTTTCCAAAGGGCTCGGAGCAGTAGCGACGGCCTTCAGACCTGTCTGTGAACAGCCCAGGTTAGGCGCACGGGCAGCCGGAGCGGCCGTGGCCCCGGAGCGGCGTCACAGGAGCCCGTCGGTGGTCCCAGGCGCTGGGTGGGGACGTGGAGTTTTGTAAAGGAACTTTGGTTGGTGTCCGGAAGGCTCAGCTGTAAAGGGGGCTTCGGGTGGTGGCAGTTGGGCTCCCAGTGCCACAGGCCGTCAGGCCAGCCTGGTGGTCGCCTGGCGGCACTGCAGCAGCGCAGGGACGGGAAGGGGATGCCCAGGCTTCACAGGAGGGCGTTTCACTAGCTCCGGGGTCCCGAGAGCACACGCAGCCAGCCGGGTGGAGCTCGCGTGGGTCAGGGCAAGCCCTCGCCGGGAGCAGCCTGCGCGCTGGAGACGGCTGCGAACCTCTCGTACAGAGAGGGAAACTGAGGCTCAGAAGAGCACCCGCCAGAGGTGGGAGCTGCCCCAGGCACCCGCTCCCAGCAGCCTAAGCCCTGAGCCAGGCTGGCCTCCTGCACCTTGGTCGTGCCAAGTGGGGCCAGGACTGGGGCCGACGCTGAGCTGCTCGGGACAGTCACGGAGAGGCTGACCCCTGTCCTGGGCTCCCTCGTTCGCTGGTTTCCCTGCAGGTGGCTCCCAGCCTGTCCTCCAAATACTGACTATCAGTGTGAAAGGGTCCCCATTCCTCCCCTTCCCAGGGGTCACCCTCACCCCTGAGGGCCCCTGCTCCTCTAAGAGATTCCAGAGGGTCAGGGTCCCACACTGTGCGTGTTCCGAGCCCCCCACGGCAGCCCCATGAGGTGGGCGGAGAGCTGAAGCCCGGGCACAGGAAGTGACAGTGCCCGCCTGAGGCTTGGCACAGACACGGGAAGTCACCCCAAATCGCCCCTGAGGCCTCAGTGCTCATATGCACCCGCTCCTTCTCTCCTTGTCGGCGAGGCAGGGCAGGAAGTGCCACGCGCATCTGTTTGATGTGGAGACTGAGGCCCACAGGCGGGCCGCGCGTGCCACTGCAGGCTCCTGGCCCCCGACCGGGCTCTGCTGCTCCTTCCTGTCCCAAGGCCTGGGGATTCAGGACAGCTGCGGCCTTCTCTGCGCTGCCCATTACCCTGGTCTCGTCGGCATCCGACCGAGCCGGCCACCCTCTGAGCACCCTATGTCCCGCAGAGAGCCAGCCAGAGAGGGCCCGGCCTTGTGCGCGGCCTGCCCGCAGCCCAGCCCCGCTGCTCCTGGGCCGGCCCTACGCCACAGACGCTCCATCCCTCCACGCACCCCTGCTGCCAGGGCCTCGTCTCCTTGCGTTCTGGTCTCCCTGCCCCTAGACTGGGTCCTCCCTGACTGCAGCTCGAACGATCTTTCCAGAATTCACAACCCACCAGCTCATCCCCTTCTTGGAGTTCACCAAAGCGCGTCCCATCGGGATGCCTGTTGGGGGTCCCCATCAGCTGTGAAGCCACAGTAACAACAGATAAAACGTAGGCAGAGACCAAGGCAGAGCCGTGCGCTGCTGTGTGCAGGACCCAGGCCTGGGCTCCAGGCGGAGAGCCGGGCGAGGGGCCCTGGGAGGCGGCACGCGTGGGCAGCGCGTCCCCAAAGCTCTTCGGGGGGGAGAGGAGCGGGACCCAGGCCTGGGCTCCAGGCGGAGAGCCGGGCGAGGGGCCCTGGGAGGCGGCACGCGTGGGCAGCGCGTCCCCAAAGCTCTTCGGGGGAGAGAGGAGCGGGACCCAGGCCTGGGCTCCAGGCGGAGAGCCGGGCGAGGGGCCCTGGGAGGCGGCACGCGTGGGCAGCGCGTCCCCAAAGCTCTTCGGGGGGAGAGGAGCGGGACCCAGGCCTGGGCTCCAGGCGGAGAGCCGGGCGAGGGGCCCTGGGAGGCGGCACGCGTGGGCAGCGCGTCCCCAAAGCTCTTCGGGGGGGAGAGGAGCAGGACCCAGGCCTGGGCTCCAGGCGGAGAGCCGGGCGAGGGGCCCTGGGAGGCGGCACGCGTGGGCAGCGCGTCCCCAAAGCTCTTCGGGGGAGAGAGGAGCAGGACCCAGGCCTGGGCTCCAGGCGGAGAGCCGGGCGAGGGGCCCTGGGAGGCGGCACGCGTGGGCAGCGGGTCCCCAAAGCTCTTCGGGGGAGAGAGGAGCGGGACCCAGGCCTGGGCTCCAGGCGGAGAGCCGGGCGAGGGGCCCTGGGAGGCGGCACGCGTGGGCAGCGCGTCCCCAAAGCTCTTCGGGGGGGAGAGGAGCGGGACCAGGCTTCGCTGCCTGTCCGGAAGCCCATCGGAGCCTGGGGCCACACCTGGCGGAGTGGGTGGGGGGCGAGGCAATTGCAAACTTGTGAGGGAAGGCTAAGCAGGAGGGAGAATATGTGAAAAAAATAAAATGAACAGAAAAAAGAGTTATACCCAAAATGAGTCTGTAGACACAATTCTAAAACACGTGAAGAGACCTAATGCTAAGGATGATGATCAATAAAAATCTGCACTTGAAACCTGAATTTATTCAAGATGAAGCTAATTTCATGGAATACTCTCACAGCGACCTTTAAATAAGGATGTTTAGAAGTTTGGAAGGGAATGATATACAAAGGAATAGTGAAGCAAAAAAATCATGAAAATAAAACAAGAACAGATGAATATAAAAATTATTTGAAAATCTGCTAATGAAAAACATGATGACTAGTGGGAATAAAGACACCGCACCAGACAGGGTGCGCGAGACCGCGAGCGCTTTGGAAGCGGCACTGCAGGTGTTGCACAGCGTGGCCAAGGTCGAAGATACGTTTATACATAAAAGCAGGTAGGAAACAGGAGGGCAGGGAAGCCCCTGCTTTCATCTCGCGGGAGAATGTGGGGGGAGGGGGAGAAGCAGTAATTGAAGAACGAAGCTAAACGTTTGCTAGGATTGGAGAGCGTTGGCGTGAGTTCTTAGATCAAAAGTCGTCTCCACCTGTCGGGTAGATGACTAAGAATAAACCTAGAAGGCTAGACGTCTGTGTCCAAAGATATAAAGGAGGAGTCATGGAAACTGCTAGGGCAGAGCCGCAGGTCACCACCACGGGATGGCCGGCGCGCCGTGGGCCCCCAGCGGCGGCCAGAGACCACGGAGCAGCATCCACCAACTGCTGAGAGAGTGGCTGCCCACTCAGGGTTTCACACACACTGAAGTCATTTTTCAAGAGCCAGGGCCAAGCACAGACGTTTTAGACGTAGGAGGACTAAGATTTCTATCCCCGACAAACCACCCGTGAAAAAGAGCTGGGCTTTAGCGAGGAGACTGGGGAGCCCGGGAAGCAGGCATGAGAAGCCACAGCACGGCCATCGTTGGCGGCAGCTGATTTACTCAAGCCTAGGCTGCAACAATAGCACGTTGGTTGGTGATGTTTTGGAAGGAGTTAGAATCTGCTACGGTTGGTGTTGTGTTGGGGAAAGATAGAAATAAGTAACCTTAGACTTTGTTAGAAAAATGTATAGTTAAGAACATGTGCTTCAAACATCTAGGCTAATTGCTACAAGTAGTAAAATGCCCCCTGTAATTTCCAAATCAGCAGAGGAAAAGGAGGTGAATGTGGGATTTTTTTTTCAAGAAGACAGGAGAGGAAGTAGAAAGGATGACCACCTGAAAATAATAATGAATCCCTACTCAGGGTACGACAAGCCAAAACACAAGAACTTGGGGAGAGGCGGCTAAATGGCCAAAGTATTGGAGACCATGAAACGTGAGCTAGAAGTATTTAGGAAAAAATAATACAGAAATAAACACATAACTGGATGAACAGAGTATACCGTAGACACAGCAGAAGACACAGCAAGAAACAAAAGAGGCAGAAGTGAGAAAAGTACACAAAACAAAACAAATGAGTTTTTGAATATTAGACAGTGATACCTACTAAGACAAGCAAAGAAGGTACAACAGGTGGATAACAGGAGCCTGGCGAGACCACCAGGATGATGGATCAGAATAAATCCACTCAAACTCCCACGGTGCCCCGATGTGAATTAGGCCACAGTAGGGTAGGCAGTTGGCTGCTGTGACCTACCTGTTACCTGTCCTCGGGTGAGCGTGCAGTTACCTCCTGAGTGGGGAACCCGGAGGCAGCGGCACAGGCCTCTGGGTCCTGGTATTCGCCCACCCCAGTCTTCGCAGATCAGGCCAGTGATGTGGCTGCCAGTCACTGGGGATTCCAGCAGCCACCGGGCCAGGAGTGTCATTGAAACCAGGTGGCCCTTCACCGCAGCCTGGATTGGTGCCAGTCGGCAGAAGCTGCCGGGCCCCAGGATTCCCGGTGCGGCCCCTGTGCAGCCGCCTTTGTCATTCCATCAGCCTTGCGTTCACGCGGGCTCCCCTCTTACAGGATTCAGTCGCATGGGGCCCACTTCCTTTGGTGTGGTGATGCTTCCGTGTTTTTTAAACATAATTCAAGAAAAGGTTACCAAAATCAGGACTAATTCACATGTCGAACGAACACACTGAGTAGCAGGGGAGATGGGCAGTCACCCTGGAGACACAACCCAGGAGAGTCACTGACTTAATGGAAGCGAAAGGTCCGCTTGGCGCCCAGGCAGACACGATCGAGTGACTTTAGACGGAGAGCCGTGACTGGCTTCGGACTTGTCCGCGCAGCTGTGGACCTGAGGACACCGCCAGGCAACAACGGCAAGATCCTGAGGACAGGAAGGGTGAGGGCTTTCTATCCAGCCAAGTGGGCCTTCACGTTGAAAGGCTACCAAGCAGTGTTAGCTCTGCCAAGAACTCGGGAGACGGACTCTCAGGAGCCATCGATGAGAATCGGCCCCGGTCCACCATGGGCCCGCTGGGGCCACTTGGGCACCTGTCCCGAGGCAGGCGCCCCATAATTAACTGCAGAGAAAAACCGAGGCGGGATAAGGGCATGGGGGCGGTTTTAAGTATCACCTGCGCTGATAACGCGTCAAAGACCCAGCGGAGAGAAGGGGAGAGGAGGGGGCGGGGGACTCAGCTGTCAGACGGTCTTGCGTGTCGTCGTTAGGACTTTACACGAACCAAAGAATATCCTTTACTGCTGACAAGTGGAGGGGAAATGTTTTTAACAGCCTGGTAGTAAAAATTAGAAAGGAGGATGGAGAGCCGCTGTTTGAAATGGTAGAAAACCCAAGAGAACCGACACAGGGCCCCCTCAGGCAGCGGGGTGCTGGCGCGGCCGTGGGCACGGTAGCCACGCACAGACGCCCCGGGGCCGGCCGCCTGTTGGAAGCTTTACAGCCCGTTTACGGGGCAGCAGGAAGGTCAGGTGCCTCGGAATGAGGATGGTGAAAACTTCAACACCCGCTTGAGAGTTTAAAATCCCCGAGGCCAAAAGAAAAAGAAAGGGAGGCCCACTGTGCTTTCGGTAGGAAAATGTAGTATTTCAAAGTCATCACTGTGCCCTAAGTTAATTTATAATTTCAGCGTCGTCCCAGTAAATGTGCTCAGTCATTCTCATTTCAGATAACTCCCAAGTGGATCCAATATCTAGATGCAGAACATGAAACGGAGGCACTGAAATAAAACAGTGAATTTGCTCTGTAACCTCAGAATCTTGTCAAGATTCAAACCTCCGAATGCTGCGTGGGAAAACAGTGACAAATTCTACGACATGCCCATTTTTTAAAGTGTAGGTGGCCGTGCACAGTGACTTCCTCTCAGAGACGACGGAACGGAAGGGCAGAAGATTGAAGGTCGCCGTCACAGCGATCTGTCACGTGGACAGCACGCGCCCTGATAGGATGTGATGAGAGGGCGCCTCCCCGCCGTGTCCTCCCCAAGCCCACAGCCCCGCCGGGACCCCGGGACGGGCACCAGTCGGGCCCCAGCGGAGGGACGCCCTCCAGAACCCCCGCCAGGCCCTCCCCTCCACTGCACGGGGTCCAGACAAGGAACGGCCGAGAAGCCCTCAGGGCCTGGGGGGCCCAGGAGGCGCGATGACTCAGTCAAATACTGTGGGGCCTCGGATGGGGTCTTGGGGCCACAAAAAGGCCATTCGGTTAAAATTAGGGAACCCAAAATAGATACGCAGGCCGCCTAAGTAGGTGTTTAGCACGTGTTTGTTGAATGAATGAACGAAGGAAGCCAAGCTCACACGCCTCTGCTTCCTTCCCTCAGAAAATCGCCTTCATGGTAGCACTAGGCCTGGTCACCACGGAGCACTTGGAAGGTAAGGTCCCCGCGTGTGGGCTGGGCCGGGGCTGGCCCACATGAGGGGTAGGGCGGGCGGGCGTTCGCGGGCTTCCCGGGGCAGCGAGGATCCAGTCGCCGCCGCGTGTGCCTTGCAGAGATCCAGAGCAAACGCCAGGAGCGGAAGCGGAGAAGCACAGCCAACCCCGCCTACAGTGGCCTCCTGGAGACGGAGGTGAGTGCTGCCGCTGCGCCGGACGGCGGGCGGCCCGCGGGCGCTGGGCGGCCACGGCAGCTCACGGCCTTATTCACCCCCAAGTTCAGAGTCAGCCGAGAGGCCCAGGCAGAGAGCAGGACGTCGGCTGTGTTCCTCACACTGGGCTGCGGGGCGCGTCGGCTTCCCGGTTCTCCCGGGTTAGCAGGCACGTCTCCCAGTCACAGGCGCGCGGAGCGGCACCCTGGGATTGTCCCGCAGGCTAGAAGCAAATTTTTAGGGCTCCAAAGTCCAAAGCAGGGGACAGCCCTCTGAAGCAGAATGATGTCCCCAGAGGCCAATGACTGGTACGTTCCAGACTCAGCTCTCACGGCCAGTGGCCAGCACGGCTCTGCAGGGGCAGGGGGCGCGTCCAGAAACGCCCGCGCGCACCTCCCCGGGCACTGGTCTGTCTGAGCCAGTTGTCCTTAATCCACGTCTTGCGAATGGGGACTCAGCTGGGAGGGACGGCAGCCCTGGCCCTGAGACAGGGTGCCCTGTGCACTGTGTCCCGTTTGTAAGAATGTCGCGGAGCTGTTTCTCACCCTGAGCCTGGGGACGGCGAGTCCTCTGTTGGTTGGATAAGGTCCCTGTCCCCTTTGCTGTGGTCACTGACGAAACTGTCTCTCCGCTCTGGTCTCCGGAGTCTGGCTGGGACCAGAGGTCACCTGATGAGCAGATCAGGAGCCAACGCAAAGCCGTGAGACCTTGGTCACATACGTAGCCTCAGAGCAGCCCTTCCTTGGGTCCCCGCCCGTACCCAGAAGACAGGTTTCAAGCCGAACACGTAGCTCTCAGTCTTTCTGAACAATCATAGCCAAAGCCACCAGTGTGGCCTGTGAGGCGTAGGGCCACTTTCCTGGAATGTACCAGGAGCTTCCGTCTGCCCATGATGCTCGGGCTCAAGGCCCACACCCTGCCTGGCACCAACGCTCCCGGGGCCACGTGCCGGAAGGGGGGCTTACGGAGCTCATTGGTAACGCCCCTCGTTTCCCCGCCTGACTCCAGAGCCAGCTGAAGAGGGAGGCACAGGAGGTGGCAGACGGGGAGCCAGCTGTCAGCTCTGCCACAGATTTGCCCCAGTGTGGGGCCCTGACACGTCCCCCCAAGTGAGGGGCAGAGCCTTTGCTGACCTGCCCCTGCCGACGCGTCCGTCCGCTCCCCTGCGTCGCCTGCGTCAGTCGTTTCTGCCCCCGTCGTGGGTGTCCAGCCGCAGCCCAGAGCCTGGGGGGGCGGGGCTTGTCCGGGTGGGTCCTGGGCAGGGGTTGTAGCCTGAGGAGGCTCCGTGCAACGGTGGTTTGGTCTTGTTTTCTGTCCCCTGCAGAGGAAGCGGCTGGCGTCCAACTATCTCAACAGCCCCCTGTTTCTCACAGCGCGAGGTAAGCCACAGACCGGGGCGGCTGTGGGGCGGGGCTTCGGCGGCCCTCCGTGCCTGGCCCGAGTTCCCGGCCCACCCTGGGCCCTCGGCCTCCCCCTGCTTCCGAGAGGAGGGCCGGGGAGGGCGCCCCCGTGGGACGGGGCAGAAACTGAGGCTGAGCAGGAGCACCGGGGAGGGTCACACACAAGGCCCAGGCCCAGGCTGCCCGCTCTGTTCCGCCCCCGGGTATGACCCTGAGCAGGACCAGGGTCTGTGGTGCCGAAGGCCACTGTGGCAGGATCCACCCACCACAGCACTGAGCTGGGTCAGGGTGAGGGCAGTGTGCCCGGGAGAGCAGTGGAGAGAATCCCAGCCTCCCCGCCCCACCCCGCACACACGCCCGGGCAGCCGGCCCACCTGGTGGCGCCTGGCGCCTCACACGCCCGCCTGTGCCTGCCCTGGGCCGGGAGGGGGCCGGGAGGGGGCTGGGGTCCTCAGACCGGCCCTGCCTCTGACTCCCTGCATGGTCAGAGCCGCGCGGCCTGGGCCAGACCTCCCCGCCAGGCTTCGGGGTCCTTCTGTGTGACAGGGCGCTCGCTGGGCATCCAGCGCTGGATGCTGGGACCTGGCCCGAGGCCTTCACCCCAGGGTGCACGGACCCCGCTCCTCTTTGCCAGCCCCGGCCCCTGCAGGGTCGCCGGGTCCAAGACACCAACATCCACAAATACAGTATCCACAAATACGACATCCGCGATGCATCTGCCACTACAACGGTGCATCTGCAACTATGACCAGGCGGTTGCCTTTTATCTTCAATTAGAAAAAAACAGCCCTGGCTGGTGCAGCTCAGCAGATTGAGCCCTGGCCTGTGAACCAAGGGGTCGCCAGTTCGATCCCCAGTCAGGGCATGTGCCTGGGTTGTGGGCCAGGTACCCAGTAGGGGGCGCGCAAGAGGCAACCACGCATTGATGTTTCTCTCCTTTTTCTCCTCCCTCCCCCTCTGTAAAAATAAGTTAAAAAAAGAAAAAAGCAAGTAGTCTTAAGGGCAGGAAATGACTTGGGACTCGGTGGATTTTAACATGTCATGTCACTTCCTTGGGTCGTGGTTTACTGATGTTTAAAATCAGCCCACAGGACCACGGAGCCCAGTTGGTTAGAGCGTTGTCCTGATGTACCGAGGGTGCGGGTTCAATATCTGGTGAGGGCACCAACAAGAAGCAACCAATGAATGCATGGCTACATGGAACAACGAATTGATGTTTCTCTCTCTCCCTCTTTCCTTCTCTCTCTCTTGAAAAAAAAAAAAAGTCGATAGATAAAACCAGCCCACACCAGCACCTGCCTCTCTGAGCGGGGGCAGTGGCATGGGGGTGGCAGCAGCGAATGTGACCGCACTGTAAACCGCTGAGAGCTGTGTACACTCGAAGCTGTCCTTCCTGCTGGCCGGTGGCCTTTGCAGACTGGTCTGACCATTAAAATGTGTGGCTTGACATCACTTACTAAAGCGAGAGGAGGTTGCAGCCAAAAGCCAAAAAAAAGAGCTGCCAATAAATCACTCCTTCTCCCTGGAGCGAAGGTTCCCTCCACGGGCCCCCCGCTGTGGTCCGCAGGGACTCGGGGCCCCTCCCGAGCCTGGTCCATGTGGGCTCCGGCCGCGACCAGGCCAGGGACCCTGACCCCCATCGCGCCCTGGGGGAGAACCGGGTCACTCTGGGCCTCGAGGACGCCCGTCCTGGCTGGTGCTCCCCACACGCCCACTAACGTGTTCTACGCCCTTCTTCCCTGTGCTAGCCAATGAGGACCCCTGCTGGAAGGTACGTGTCCCCTCTTCCTACCGGGGGTGGGGCGTGCTTTCCGCAGTCCAGGCCGGGCCTCCCCAGGGCCCTGCCGTCTGGGAGCGGAGCAGAGGCCGTGGGGCTCCGGCCCTGGCGTGAGTGTGGGCACCCAGGCCCCGTCCAGCCTGCTTAGCGGTCGGGCACCGCTGCAGGGCGCGACCGACAGGTTCAAGCCGGAGCCCTCCGTGCCTGGTGCCGGGGACGCGGGGACCCTGGGAGCCACAATGTCCCGGGTGCCGCCCAGCCTCCCAGCGTCACCCTGCACGGAGCTGCCCTCCCTGCCCCCCGAGGGGTGGGGCGCGGCGGTGCCCGCACGCCTGCTTCTCTGCGGTGCTGTGAGCCCCACCTCTCATGCCCACGCCTGTCTCTGCTTCCCAGACAGGCGGGTCACGACCTCATTTGAGGGCCTGGCTCAGAAATTAGTCAGTGTTTTTCTTCACCAAGTGTCAGATCTAGTTCTAAGAGTGCCCGCCCCATATGTGCCCGTAGCGGTCAAGCTGCTGGGCAACGGTAGGTGACAGACGTAAACTCCGGTGAGCGGCCTGGCGGCGCTGGCCCGCAGCCACCGTCTGCCTGGCCCGTGCAGGCGTGGGGACGGGACACGCCTCGAGCCTGAGGCCTGCACCCACAGAGCCTGCAGTGCTTGAGGGCCTGGGTTCCAGGCAGGAGCCCCGGGTGCCAGCCCCACCCCAGCTCACGGCGTCACCTGGGCAAGGGGCTCGCCATCCCTGCGCCCTTGAACAGAAACGAGAAGCGAGGACAGGGTCTGAGGCCTCCTTCAGAGACAGCCTTGGGATCTCTTGTCGTCATGGCGTGGGCCATCCCAGGTGACAGCCCTCCGGTCCTTTCCAAATGTGAAGGTGGAAGGGGCAGACCTGTGGCTGGAGAACAGACGTAATGTGCAGGGAAAGGGGTTTCAGTCGGGTGGCAGGAGATCGTGCAGACTGTGCAGGTCACAGGAGGCTCCTCGCTCTCAGGGCTGCCCACAGTGTAGCCGGGGCTTAAAAGGTAGTGAGGTGCCCGTCCATGGAGGTGTGTAAGCAGAGACCAAACAACCCAATGATGATGACTCTGTAGATAATCATTCTGAAGAAAGGGAAAGCTGCCCTTCCCTGGGTTCCTCCCCAGATGGTACTCTGTGTGCCTTGTCCTGTTGAGCCCTCCCAGCCACCGTGGGGCAGGTGTCAGCACACGTTACGGGCATGGACACAGATGTGTGCAGCAGCCCACCCAGGACGATGGGGACGACGGGTTAGACCGAGGTGCTCTTAGGCCACACAGCAGAACCCCTTCCCAACGGTAACACTCAGTGACGCTAGCCGATGTGCCTGCGGGTGCCCCAGAATCCTGCTGCTCCGCCCGGCCGGGTTGGGGCTCACCCCTTCCCCCGAGCTGCTGAAGCACCTGGCTGGGTGACAAGCAGGTGCTGGCAGCTGCCTGGAGACCCCTCACCTCCCGCTGCCCTTCTTTTTCAGCACGAGATCGCCCACGATGAGCACTGCACCGCCTGCAAGCGCGGTGCCCACCTGCAGCCCTGTGGCGCCTGCCCCGGGGCCTACCACCTGGGCTGCCTGGACCCGCCCCTCAAGACAGCCCCCAAGGGCGTGTGGCTGTGCCCCAAGTGCCAGCAGAAGGTATGGGCTTCCTTGCGGCCAGGGCCGGGAGGGAGGCAGGTCCCCGCGGAGGCAGAGACGGGCGAGAGGCGGGGCTGGCTGCAGAACGGGCTTTCTCAGCCCCCATGGTGCGCCGTGGGCACTGTCCCGTGGAGCAGCACCGCTGCCCCGACAGGGCCCCGGGCGGTGCTGACTGAAGACCGCCCGCTGGCGGGGGCTGAGCACGGCTGCCCCGCCGCAGCTGTCCGACTTAGGGGCTCAGCCTCTGAGCGCCAGAGCCCCCCAGGCCGAAAGGACGGCAGTGAGGACGCGACGAACAGCCGCCGGAGCAGCCGGAGCAGCCGCGCGCCCCTCCGTGGCAGGGCAGCGAGGCCCGCGTGCTGCCGGGCCTGAAGGGCGGGGCGGGCGGGGGGCTGCGCCTTGAGTGCAAAGGTTGTGGGTTCCATTCCCCGTCAGAGCACGTGCCTCGGTTGCAGGTTTGGCGCCCGGTCGGGCCTCCTCCGAGAAGCAACCGATGGCTGTTGCCCTCACATTGATGTCTCTCTCCCTCCCTTCCCCTCTCTCTAAAAATAAGTCAACCTTTTTTTTAAGAAGTATGCTTTTCTGCAGGACATGCTACTTGTATGTTCATCTTTGTTTCAAAAACCACTAACTGGGGTGCATCCTGCCCCCCCGGGATTAGAGATGCGGCGGCTGCGGTTCGCTGTGGGGCCGCCCCTGGGGGCGCTGCCAGCCCCTGCACTGTCGCTGCCCGGGAGCCACAGCTCTTCGAGGGCGCGGAGGGGACGAGGCGGCTTCCCTCCCCGGCGTGATGGCGGAGGCTCACTGGGCCCCTGGTTTGTGCCCGGGCTGCGGGAATAAGACGGTGGTCATTTCTTTATTCACTTGTTCAAGAAGAATTTGCCTCTGCTCCTGGCGGGCACTGCGTGAGGCCCTGGGGGTACGCAGGTCCCGGCCCCGCGGAGCGGCCTCTGTGAGCCAGCACCCAAGCCGGGGGTGGCCCCGTCCCCCGGCCACGGCTGCGGGGCCTGTGGCCCAGAGAGATCACGCGTGTGCGGGCACAGACCCCCGGCATGGCTGGCTCACCTCCCCTCTGCCCTCCAGGCCTTAAAGAAAGACGAAGGTGTGCCCTGGACCGGGATGCTGGCCATCGTGCACTCCTACGTCACCCACAAGACAGGTAGGGTGCGGGAAAGGGCGCTGCCCGCCCCTCCAACCCTGCCTCTGGGGCTGGTCCTGTGTGCAGGGCAGGGGCGGCGGGAGGGCGGCGTCCCAGCCCCCGTACACCCCGCACGGGCCACGGGCTGCTGCAGGAGGCGCGGCCCGTGGGCACGGGTCCCGGGTGCTCTCTGCTGACCCGCCCTCCTCGGCGGGGCCTGGCCCTCTCTCTAGTCAAAGAAGAGGAGAAGCAGAAGCTGCTGCAGAGAGGCAGCGAGCTGCAGAGCGAGCACCGGCAGCTGGAGGAGCGGGACCGGCGCCTGGCCTCGGCGGTGAAGGTGCGCCGGCGGGGGCGGCGTGGGCGGCGTGGGCGAGGGGCTGCCCCAGGTCCGCAGGGTGTGGGTCCGAAGCGACGTGGCCCGGTTCCTGAGGCCCCAGGAGATGGTGGTGGTGATGGTGGTGGTGGTGGTAACAGCGGTGCCAGGCCCTGGTAAAACTCTTTACACGTAGTATGACGAGGCTCTGTTTCTTCCTATGTTAGAGTGTCGGGCAGTCTCGGGGATTTTAAGCTATTGGCCTTCGCAGAAGACTAGCTTTGACTCGATGCGTCGGCCCTTAGCTCCGTCTGTAAAGGCTGGGAACGGACGGGAACTCAGGCTGCAGGAGAAAGAGCAGAGACTTGGCTGCCGTGGCTGAGTCAGATGAGGCCGGGCCGGCGCGTGGCAGCCGCGAGCAGGAGGTCCCCACGCTTCTGCACAAGCCACGTTACTTCTGGCCCCAAATCTAAAACAAGCGTCTCCTGTGTGTGTATGGCTGCTGTTTAATTCCGTTTTTCACTGCCACCTGGTTTTTGCGAGGCTCTCTGGCTGGTTTCTCTCCGGGCTCCGCCGCGGGAGGGAGGGGCTTTGGGGGCAGGGAGGAGGGCCGGCTGCTGCCTGCACCCTCGGATTCTGAGACCCTTCTCTCCCTTCCCCCTCTGCCCTGACAGAAATGCCTGGAGCTTAAGACGAGCCTGTTGGCCCGGCAGAGGGGCACCCAGTCGTCCCTGGACCGTCTGCGGGCCCTCCTGAGACTGATACAGGGTGAACAGATGCTCCAGGTCACCATGACGACCACCAGCGCCGCCCCGCTGCTGGCGGGGCCCTGGACCAAGCCCTCAGCAGCAGCCGTGCACTCTGCCCTCCAGCACCCCCAGGGGCACAACTGACCCCGAGGGACCCATCTCCCCACCCGCGGAAAGTCACAGGGACCCTGCTCACAAGACCTGAGGGTTCTGTCAGCCTTAATTCACAAACCCCATGATTTTCAGACTAAACAAAACCAGACAGGAAGAGACAGGGGAAAGGGGGAGGTGGCGCTGGGTCAGAGTCCTAGTCCTGGCCCCGGGAGGGGCGGGGGTGGAGCCCTGCCCCCTTCGGGTTCAGGCTGGACACACGGAAGCCAGGTGGGGCGCACCATCGGCTCCGGAGTCTAGCCCGGCGCTCCCCACGGCCCTGTGCAGAGGTGTGGAGGGGCCAGGGCACCCCGTGCCCAGGGCCAGCGCCCATCCAGCATCCTGTGGGGAGGGAGCCAGGAAGGCAGACGTAGCTGAGTAGTACAGGTAGTTGGACAGAAGTGGGTAGCGAATCTAGGTAGGACTCCAGGCCCATTCCTCACGGGGGGCCCACGCCTGGGCCCTCGGGTGCCTTTCCAGAACCCCAGGCCCTTCTGTCAGTATTATTAGCGTTAAAAATTGCAGCTGTTTGACTTGAAATTGTGGGCGGCCTGTGTTCCAAGGGGACGCTGCCGTATTCCCTGCCAGTGCCACCGTCCCCAAAGTCCCGGGGCGCCCTCAACAGGCGTCTCCTTCCTCTTGCGGATGCTTTGGACTCATTTTGCTATTGATGTATTTTTCTCACGGAGTGTCCGGCAAGACGGAGCCGCAGCCGTGCGGAGGCGGCATTGGGCAGGTGTTCTACTTCGGGTTGAACCATTCAACTTGCGACTGAAGCCTTTTATTCTCTCCTTCCGAAGAGCCGATCCAGTATTCCACTCCCTGTTTCTTGCCAGTACAGACACTATGCCAAAAAAATAACCTTCCATTTTTGTAGGGCGTTTTTATTGTAAGATATTTAATGTGAAGGGGGGGGGGTCGCCTAAGGACGTCTTTTCCTGCTCACAGTGGTCTCTGCTGCAGTGTTCGAATGGGAACGCCCTCCGGGGGGGCTGCGAGACTGGAGACCTCCAGGGTGGGTGGTGGAGTCGGCAGGGCTTGGCCTTTGGAGACCCCAGAGTCCCCCGTCCGGCCGGCTCCTTGAGAGTTGAGGGTGCCCTCGCTGTCTTAGAGGGAGGGCTCCTGCGCCCCGGGGTGGGCTGTGCCCACTCGTCACGCCCACCAGCTTCTCCTGTCCTGCAGGACTTAGCACAACCGATAAGCACGCGGGAGCCACGGGGCTCCCACCCCCAGCCTATCACACGGTGCCGAATTGCGTTGAACACACGTGTGCGGGCGCGAGCACAGCCCCAGGCCCGCACGCGCACGCACGCACGCACGCACGCACGCAGACGTGCAGAGCAGGGAGGCTGGCCCAGTCCCACAGACGGCCCTGGCCCCCTCTGCCATTTTCACGACTCCGGGAGAAACTGTGCTGTACGATACAGATCTATTTTAATACACGTAACACTGGGTTGAACAAGATTTTTATATTCTTTTATTGATGAACAAAGTGAACTGTGGGACACATGTCTTATATATTGGTTACTCGAGACGCCAATTATGCATTACCGCGTGGCTTGCGATGTAAATGTCTTCAGATTCCTTTCTTTTGCTTTGTTTTCTTCCTGGATGGATTGAATTGAATTTTTAAAAACTGTAATGGGAGGATCTGAACGGTTGGACCCGGGAGGGGTAGCTGCTGACGTGTCTTGAGACTTAGCTTTTTTTGGACCAAGGAGGGCCCGTCCAGTGGATAGTAAGGATAGAGAGAAGTGTTCGTCTTAAATATGCCCGTGTAGCCCTTCTGTACGACGCATTAAACTCGGTTGATGATTGCAGAGCCCTGTGGTTTTTGTTCGCTTGCCTTCAACAAAGGGGCCTCCAGGAGCAGATGGGGTTGCGGGGGCGGGCGGCGGGAGGGACGGGAGCTCACGGGCGCCCTCTACAGGCTGACCCCGCCCCAGGACGTGGCAGGCGCACCTGTAGAGCCATGATTGATGCTGGTAACAAAGCCACCAGGCCACAGGACGACGCGGAGCCCAAGGGTGCCGTCCACACTGTGCCCTAGCTTTTTCCTCCTCCGGGTAGCGACCACCCACTTCTTCTGCTTCCCGCGCAGCGTGGCACACACTGTCCCACAAGCACCCGAGACGGAATCTGTGGTCTTTTGAGAGCAGCCAAACTCAGAGGCTGCACCCCCGGACCCTGGCCCCAGACACTGCTGGTTGGCCAGGCGGGGTGAGGAGCGCGCCCCTGGACGGTCAGCTGTGGCCATAGGGCGGGATCCAATACAAAGGGACTGTCCCCTGGAGCTGGGGGGTCTCTGACAGACACCCAGGGGTGGGGACAGGGTTACACAGCCCACCCAGCAGGGGTCAGCCACATACTGTCCCATTAGTTTGATGGGTTCGGCCCCGTCCGGCCTCTGGAACTCCTAGGCCGGCTCCACCCAGCCTCCTGGCTTCCTGTCCACGCTGCTGCCCCTCAACTCCCGTCTCCAGCCTCTGCGGTGGACTCTGCCGGTGCTTCCCCTGCAGGCGGAGCTGCTGGGCCTGGGGCCCCCTGCGGCGGGACTCGTGCCAGGCCAGCTGCCAGGTCCCTGCCGCCCTGTGACGCCGTGGTGATGGGACGGATGAGAGCGCTGAGGTCAGGGAGGTGAGGAATCGGCTCACGTCCTGGCAGCTAGGGCGAGCGTGGGCCGCCCCTGATCGTCTAACCCCGGCACCGCCCACCGCACTCCGCCCAGAGGGCAGGGTCTGGGGACGCTCGTGCCATCCCGGGCTCCTGACCAGGGCGGAACTCCCTCGGAAGACGCACCCTCAGCGCCCCCTTCTCCTCCATGGGACAACTCTGCCATTAGAAAGGGGGGCCCAGGGTGAGGATGTCTGCTCCCCTCGGCCTCACCGGCCCAACCAGCACCCCGGTGACCTGTGCCGTTTGCCTGGACAGCCCGGGGGTGGGGAAGGCCACCCCTCCGGCCTCTCCCCCCAACTCCAGCTGACCCAGCCTCTCGTCATAGCTCCACCCACCTCTGCCCGGGCCACCGGCCCAGCTCCTGGTGGGGGGCCCTCTGGGGATGGAGGGATGCAGGCCCTGCCGACGGCCACCCTCTGTGTGCCCTCTGTTCCCACAACCATGTCAATGGGGACATGCCCACCCGAGGGCTGTGCTGCTGGGACAGTCTCAGTTTGGGAGGGGGCGGTGGCTGTGACAAAGCACCACAGGCCTGTTCTGGAGGCTTCTCACATTTCCCAAAATTAAAATCACCTTTGAAAGGGAAGCGATTTCAGACCACCAACGAAGTTCAGGAAAATACAACGGGGCAGCTGATGGCAATTGGCAGAACTGTGTGAATTCTCAAGGCGCCTACTTTGAAGGGGACTGAGGTGTCATTGTCCTGTGTACAATGTTTCTTGTATTTTGTGTCTTCTTCAATAAATATGTTTTTTCATACCTTCTGGACAGACCTCATACGTATTTTTATATTTTCCCACAGGTCCCTGAGGCTCTGTTATATTTTTTCAATGCTTTTATTATTTGTCCTTCAGATTGGGTAATTTCTATTGGTCACCTCAACTAGGTGACTCATGTCACCTCCATTCTCCAATGAAATACAACCAGTGTTTTTGTATTTTTAAAATTTCAGATATCGTATTTTGCTTTTCTGGATTTCCCTTTGGTTTTTAATTTTTTTTTTTTTTTTACTGAGATTTTCTATCTTTTCATTTACTACAAGCGTATTTTCCTTTATAGACTTTTTTCAAAAATGCTTTATTCTACTTATGTTAGAGGGGAAGGGAGGGAGGAAGAGAGGGAGAGAGAAACATGCCTCTTGCATACCCTCTATTGGGGACCTGGCCAGCAACCCAGGCGTGTGCCCTGACTGGGGATCGAACTGATGACCTCTTGGTTTCACAGGCTGGTGCCCAATCGACTAAGCCACACCAGCCAGGCCTTTCCTTTACAGACTTGAGGGTGCATATAATAGCTACTTTAACACCCTCGACTACTGCTGTTTCCAACATCTGCATCACCTTAAGGGTGGTATTGTTTTGGAGAGGGTTACATTTTCCTGTTTGTTTATATAATGAATGATTTTTTTGTATCCTGGACATAGTGAATACGGTGTTGTAGAGACCTTGGGTTTTGTTACATTCCTCTGAAGAGTGTTGGGTTTTGTTTGTTTGCTTTAGCAGGCATTTAACTTAGATGGTCTCAAATTGTAAACTGTCCATTTGGAGCTCAAACCTCAGTTCAGTTGTTCGTTTGTTTTTAATCCACAGCTGGTGTCTGTCCTGCCTGTGTGTGGCTGGGGGATCAGGCAGGACCGTGAGCACAAACTTAGACCCTCCCTCTCTGGCTTCTCCTGTCTGGGTTGCTATACTCCCTTTCTAGTGGCTGCGGTTGTCCCAGACCCTGTCCTCTCCTCTTTGAACCAAAAAGGTTGTCATTTTCTACCGGAGATCGAGGCACCCTAACAGAAGTGCCAGCTTTGGCCTGGCTCAGGGTAAAAGCCATGTAACGGAAGCTCATCCTGGGGTGTGTATCCTCGTTGCCACTCTCTCCAGTGCCTTCAGGTCACCGTTGATTTGTTTACCTTTGTTCTATATTTTGTCCAAGGCTCACAGATGTCGTCTGTGGAAAGGTCAAGTCCTGTAGGAAGTGGAACACTCAGCCATATTTTGTACATCTATTAAACATTACGGACGTAGTTAGAGCCTATCGCTCCTCCTTTCCCTCAGGAATTCAGTACGCCGCTTTCTTACCCGCTTCTTAAAAATCTTTTTTCTATGTGTAGTGTTCAAAATGTAAAAATACAGGTTAATTCATGACGCATACATTGAATTGGGGGGGTTTCTAGTTTCACCCGTGAAGGCACACTGCGTTTCTCGTTCTGCATTCTCCCCTTCACAGCCTAGGACTTGGAGACAGAGCCACGGTGAGACCTACAAGCACGGCTGGTTCGCTTCCACCGTGGCGCACCGCTCAGTCCCACGGCTGTGGCACCAGCTTCCCCGCCTCCCCCTGCCAATGCGTGTGCAGGGCAGCCTCCCTCTGTTCTGACCTCGCTCAGCGTGTGGCGACGACCCCTGCACCGACCTTTCTGGCCGCTGACCTTGGCGACAACCCCTGCACCGACCTTTCTGGCCGCTGACCTAGACATACAGTTGCCGACCAGCTCCATCCGCCTTGACCGGCTTGCTGAATCGCCCCTTCCAAGGGCCTGGAACAATCCACATCCCGACCAGCGGCCTGTGAAAGTGCCCGACCCTTCCAGCCTCAGCAGTGGTTACCCAAGGGTGGCTGAGTTTCAAGTGAGGTTCGCTTTCTTGTTTCTCACAGCTGGTCATTGAATTCCTGTCCCCCTCCCCTAGCAGCTATTCTTATAAAGGAGAGTAAAGCTTTTGGTCATCACACCAACAGCAGAAGTTGCTTTCTTTCCGGCCCGGGCCCTGTGTCTGGGGGTAGACCAGCACCCTCAGTGCCAGGCACTGCTCTGCTCTGTCTCCTCCCTCCCTCCCTGCACCTGCCTCTGTCCTGCACACGCTGCTTTAGCTCTAAAAACATAGACCGCCCTGGCTGGTGTGCCTCAGCGGACTGAGTGTTGGCTTGCAAAGCAAAGGGTCACCGGTTCGATTCCCCGTCAGGGCACAGGCCTGGGTTGCGGGTCAGGCCCCCAGTAGGGGGTGTGCGAGAGGCAGCCACACATGGATGTTTCTCTCCTCCTCTTTCTCCTTCCCTAAAAATTAATAAATCTTTAAAAACATACACCTTGTGCAACTCCTTGCTTATGTTCTCCTCGGCTGCTCCACAAGCCCCTTGAAAGCAGGTGAGCCCGACTTCTCTCCGTAAACTGTGAAATGGGCACCACCTGGCGTAGAGCAGGCGCTTTAACGCACATGGAATCGCAACGCGCACACCGCCTTCCCCGCCGTACGAATGGGGAGAAGCTTGAAGCCCTGAGCCCGACCACCACCCATGGTGCCGGACAGAAGCCCACACCGAGCCTTCCAGCTCGGAACTCCCCTGCCCCGCCCGGCGAAAGGACTTGCCTGGACAGGGCCACCCAGCTGTGAGCCTGTGCTGGCCCAGAAGTGGGGCGCCCAGTCCCGGCCGCCCCCGCGACGGCTCCCTCTCTCTGGGGGAGCCCCACCTCTTGCTTTCTTTGCTTCACCTCTCAGGTTCTGGACAGGATTCAACCGCTCCCTGCGGACGTCAGTGGCAGGGGTTCCGTGGGCTGCGACTTGCTGGAGTCACTTAAAATCTCTTTCTGCAAAAGCGAGGGCTTGGACAAGTTATCTGCACGTCCTGCCAACAGGGACACCCTGGCGTCCTCATTCCACATCACGTTTCATTGTTTTAAGCTGAAAGGTGCTGTGTGTGTTTCCAAGGCATTAACACCGTAGCCACTTCCTTCTGCGAAGTGATGGGGACACTGTGCTTAGACACAGGGAGGGGTGATGAGGCCACACCAGGCTGAAGCTACGATTCCACAGTTGTCGTGAGCCAGGGGACTGCTCCCAAAGCAGACACGGGAGAACGTCTCGGGCCGCCTCTCGGCATCAAAAATTTGAGGCATGTATTTCACAATCATGCATCCTGCCGTAAACCTTTCTGCATAATTCATGAGACTTGATTTAATGTCGTTAATTTTGGCGCTCACTGCGGTGCGTGCATGAGGGAGCCATCATTTTTGTTTTAGATTTTTTTTCCTGCCACAGAACGCGGACACTGCTTCAGGGTTGTTCGCAAATGTGTGAGACAAGACACCGCCCACACGGCGGGAAAAGAAAAACGGTTGGTAGTGCAGCTGAGAAGAAATAAACAATCACTTCTTTTCAAGATGCACCAGAGAGAATTCTAGCCTTGGCTTGGGTTAACAGTGAGCTAGAGAAGACAGTGAGGAGGAATGGATGGGCGGGGACCACAAGCCCGGGGGGGGAGGGGAGGCGAGGGGAGGCGCAGGGAGCTGGAGGGCGGAGCCCGGGACACAGGCTCCCATCCACAGGCCCGGTTGGTGCCCGACGCCCTGCTCCCCGCTGGAGCCCGTGCCAGTGTGGGCGTGGGCACGGGGTGGGCCGGGCTGGAGCCTCTGGACGTCTGGGGGCTCCAGGGCACCTGGTGGGCCGTACAGATTGAGGAATGTGGACGGCCATCTAGGGGGACCAAAATCCGCTTTAAACCAAAGATCTAGATGGTTCTGGTCCAACCAGGAAACATCCAAAATACTGCGTGGTGGCAACGATTTTAGTGCTGTACCAGGTGTTCCGCTGTTTAGACGGGAAACAGGCACACAGAGGTTAAAGTGCTCAAATGCGCAGGGGAGCCGATTTTCACGAGGCCTTGGGGTTCATGAGCCGGCAGGCTCCAAACTGGGGGGGCACGAAGTGTGAACGCCCCCTTTGTACAGATGGGGAGGCGAAGGCCAGATCCCCTCTGTGGCTCCCATAGCTTCGTGAAGGTGAGTCCCCCAGCCCTGCGCTCACAGGCTGTGTGACTCTGAGCAAGTCCCTAGCCTTCTCTGGGCCTCCACACCCAGCTGTACCCACGGGAACGTCATCGGGGAAATGGCTCCCGGCCCCTTGTCCCAACGTCACCCCTCCCCTGGGGAGAGGAGGGAACCTCCGCACCGGCTCAGCTGCGGGGGCAGTGAGACCGTCCTTCGCAGGGGTCAGCTGCCTGGGGCCCGTGAATTCTGGCCCCCACCTTCCCGGGCAGGGACCAGGCGGTGGGTTGAGCAAATGCCCTTGGCCACGGATCTAATGCAGTTCTCTACGCGGCTCTGCCCGTGGACGCCCTCTCCCTCGATGTTCTGAGCTCGGGCGGGAGGAGGGGTGTCACTGAAGCCCCCTCAAACCCCAGCCCAGGTCACCCGCCCAGCCCGGCTGTCACGAGGCTCACGAGACGCGTGGGGAAGGTCGTCCGGCACCACCTGCGGCACCTGGCAGGGCCCAGCAGCCTCCTCGCCAGCCTGTGGCCCAGCACCGCTCACGCCGTCGCCCTCTGACCCCTGCCGGAGGGACGGGCCTCGGCTTCCGACCGCGCCCTCCCTGAGGACACGAGCTGCCCGCCCCCAGGGAGACGTGTCTCGTGGCTGCAGGGACTGCCTTCTCGGCTCGCCGTGACCCCGCCCCACCTCCCCCGCCCCAGGAATGTTCAGAGGGCTGGCGTCCTCCCTGATGGGACGGCCGGGGCCTGCAGAAGGCCGCCTGCTTTACCGCCCCGACTCTCCGCCTTCCCAGGCACCGTCTGTGCTGAATAACTTGGCAAGCCCCCCGCCCCACGGTGATCCGGCCTTGGCCAATGAGCTGGCTTTGGCCAGTGGGCTGCGAGCCGTGTGATGCAGCCAGAGCCAGGAGGTCGTCCACCCCTCTGCCTCCAGGACGGGAACACGCTCCGCCTCCTGAAGCCCCGGCCAGATCAGAGCCGCCCAGCTGGCCAGACAACAGCAGGCCAGAAACGCTGCTGTTGCACGTTGCCGGTTTGTTTGTTACACAGCATTGCAGTCACTGTGGCTGCCGGATACATGGCCCCAGCCCACAAACACCCATTTTCAGTGAAGCCACGTCAAATTGGGATTCTGACGGAGCCATCACCTCACCCCCACCCACAGCTGAGGAACGTGGGCAGGGGCTGGAGGACCACAGCCACAGCACTGCCACAGGAAGGTTCGCCAGAAGGCATTTAATGGCCAAGTAACAGACACGCCCGTGCACAGACGGACAGGCCTCACGGTGGCACCTCCAGCACTAGCGGAGGCTCCCGGCGGTTGCCAGGGGACCGAGGTGCACCGGGCATGGCGAGGCCTCTGGGGAAGCAGCCGCCCTGCTCTCCTGCCCTGCCGAGCCGGCGCCCGGCTCCCCGCGGGCTCCCTGGGCGCTGAAGACCTTCCCATGGTGTTCGATCAGCAGTTCGGTGAACAGGTTCAGGGGCACCAGCGCATTCAGGGAGGCGGCCCCCTGGGACGGCCAGATTAAATTCAGCCCGAAGACACAGGCCAGGTTGGAGCTGTTCATCTTGTTGAAGATGCTCTCCCGGGACACCTGGAGGACAGGTGGGAGACGCGGTGACCCGCGCGTCCTGTGCGGCGGGAAGGGCGCTGGGTTGGGAGCCAGGGCTGTGACCTCATGCTGCCACCACGCTGCTCCCCAGTCAGACGGTCTGGGGACACAGCCCCTGCCTCCAGGACCCCCTGCTCGGTAGACACCAGGGGGCAGCAGAGGCGGGCCTGGGTGACCCCAGACCCTGGGCTGCGTGAGCGTCACTGAGCGGCACGGCCTCCCCCAGAGGCCGCCCCGCCCACCCACCTCGTGCAGGAAGCCCATGAGGTAGCTGAGCACAGCGTAGTTGTGCTCCGGGAGGGTCTGCAGGATCTGGCGGCAGCGGGTCACACGCAGGCTGCTCTCCACACCTGCGACGGCACAGGGGTGCTTCTGAGTCCTCCCCGAGGGCAGGCGCGGGCGGGGGAGGACAGAGCGCCCGTGCTGGCCTGGGGCACCTGCTTCCCTTGTGGCCCCGCGGGTGTCTCCTTCCAGCTCCGTCTCCTCCCTCACAAGGGACACGCAGCTGCAGCCGCCCAGGGGGCCACACCACCTCGCACGCACGGGACACTCGGCCAGGCACGGGCTCAGTGCAGCCCGGGGCCCCGCTGTTCCTTACACGCAGTCTGTGGCAGCGGTCACTGAGTGGGGACTGGCCCCCAAAGCCGGAGGCACTTACCGCCCAGCCCGTTACAGAGGACATGCGCTGACCCGCTCTCAGCCTGCAGGCCCGTGTAGGATTCTCAGCAGCGCAGCCCCCACACCCGCCAGGGGCCGGATGCAGCTGTCCCGGTTCCGAGACCCCCTCCAGGTCCCTCTTAGCCACACCCCCACCAAGCTCTGTAAACTACAGGCCAAAGCTCAGCAGCTGACAAGCGTTCCCCAAGCTCCTGCCGTAGAGGCGCACCCAGTCACACGCGTGTTCACTCCCATGCCCCACACGCACTCACACGCATGCCGACTCACACGCGTGCTCTCTCACACACACTCACATCGCAGCCCGCAGGCGCGCCGACCCCGCTGCACCGCGGGCCAGGCCACCACGCGCACTGCGGGCTTTGCAAACGCAGCCCCAGCTGAAAGACGCAAAGTCCTCCACTGGGAACGTTCTTGCTGGCTTTTCAGTAAAAGCCATTCTTTCGTGAAAACGAGCTGTTGGGTCATTTAGAGGGATGTGGAGTGCCCGTGAAGTGACTACTTTCGAGGCACCCGCACACCTGGGGGTCCCCCCAGCCCTGGAACTCAGCTCTCCAGCCTCAGCCCATCGTCCCCCAAATGGCGGTCCCAGCGTGGCTCCCCGTGCAGGGGCCACCTCCAGCCCCCACTACGGCCCCTCCGGGAAAGACCCCTCACCAGCCAGCAGGAGGGACCCTCCCGCTGACTGTCCCGAAGCCACCGTGTGGGTGCCAGGAACCAGCCCGCTCGCCCTTGCCCTCCCTGCCGCCCGGCCCAGCGGCCCCTGCCACCCCAGCCCCCCCGCACCGCCCGGGGGGGCCCCCAGGCAGGCACGTACTGGTGATCCCCAGGATCTGCTCGTAGGCTTTGAAGGTCAGCAGCGGCTGGGGCAGCTCCCGCAGGAAGGTCTTCAGGATCACGGCAGGGACGTGGACGTCTCCATAGTCGTCGAAGTTCACGGGCTTGCCTGGGCACACAGCACGGGCGCCTGAGTCTCTGTTTTGTTTTAAATCTAATCACTCTTCTCTCTCTCTCTCTCTTTCGAAGACTTTACTTATTTACTTTTATAGAGAGGGGAAGGGCGGGGGAAAGAGGAAGAGAAGCATCAATCTGTTGACTCTCACACGCCCCCGACTGGGGGCCTGGCCCGCAACCCAGGCCTGTGCCCTGACTGGGAATTGAACTGGGGACCTTTTGGTCTGCAGGCCGGCGCTCAGCCCACTGAGCCGCACCAGCCAGGACGCACCCGAGTTCTGATTCTGGGCTGGGGACTCCGGCCTCACCATGGGCTCTGATGCAGAAAGGCTTTAACCCCGCCGAGGGAAGAGCCTCAGGCTGGAGCAATGTGCCCAGGCGGTGACTCTGTCCTCTCTGGAAATGGGGTGCTGTCGCCCCGCCCGCCCCGCCTCTCCAGGGAGCCTGGCGGAGGCTGGGGCGTCACTGGTTTCCCTGCTGTGAGGCTTGGTCCCGCCCAGGGAGAGAGCGCTCGGGGGTCCGGGCCCTGGCTCCCGCGTCCCGGAGCCCACACACAGCGGGGGGAGGGCTGGCCAGCCATGCCAGGCACCGGCCCTGTCACCTAACGAGTGAACCGGTGACCACGGAAACGACGAGGGTGCCCTGAGGACGGGGAAACCTCCCTGTAGGTGAGCTGCTTTACCAGCATCGCCACAGCGTGCTCAGCTCTGACGCCGCGTCTCCCCACCCGCAGGTAACACCCCGGCAGCTGCGGCAGCCGCGCTGAGCCAGGCGGCCCTGCTGCCCCGCGGAGCCTCCCCAGCCCCATTCCCGACACCGTCCGCCTGGTTTGCGTGGAGAGGCCCTGAAGGCTGATGGCACCATGAGGCCGCCTGCCCCCGCCAGCTGGGCACGGGACTCACCTGAGCAGCTGCCCTGGCCCGGGCTGTTTGGGGGTTGGGGGACAGAGCTGGGGGCTCCGGGCCCTGGCGGGCGGGCGGCTCGGGGGAGGGGCCGCTCACCTTGGTTGTAGAGCCGCTGGATCTCGCGGACGGTCTGGACGCTGGCCGATCGCCGGAACAGGCCCTCTGTGCGGAGTCCTGCAGGCGGAGAGCCTCTAGGAATCTCACAGGGCCCAGCACATCAGGTTTCCAGAACATTCCCCGACTCCCCCGCCCGCGCGTCGCCCCCGGGGCTGGCAGGGACCGCTCTCCAGTCTGGGCCGTTGCCCCCCCACCGCCTACTGCCCCTCCTTCAACGCTCCTCTCAATTCAAACTTTTCCCGGTCCCCAACCCGACCGGATTTCCCTCCCACCTGTGCGGCCCCCGGGACGGGAGACAGGGGACCGACCGCCACTGAGGTCAGACGGAGCGGGCCCAGCGCTCGGCCTCGGAGAAAGCGCACAGCCATCTGAGCTCAGCCGCCCGCTGCCCCCGAGGGCTGCTGGACGGGCCGTCGCGTGCGTGGCATGTGTCGGGCACCCCGCGCGCCCCCAAACCCGCGGCTTCCCGTTCTCCCCACGAGGGTCTAGGGCTGCCCCGCCCAACACGGTTGTCACTCATCGCACGCGGAGACTTAAATTTAATGGAAATTAAATGAAATTTTAAAGTCCAGCCACCCGGCACTCCCACGCTCACATACACACACACGCACACTCCCACACACACGCACACTCGCACACTCACACACACGCACTCCCACAGCCACAGCCAAGGGTTCTATGGGGCCGTTCCCGCCGCGGGCAGTGACCCTCACTGGAAGTAGCGCAGGTGAGACCCCCGTGCTCTCCCCCTCCCCGCCCAGCAGCCCTCCTCCACTCTGGCGCTCAGGGAGCGATGCAGCAGGTACGGCCGACGGGGACCCGCGTCTGTGGGAGCCCTTCCTGTCCCCGTCAGCTGCAGGCGGCTTCCCGTGGACCCCGGCCACGGGCTCCACCCCCCGCGCCTGCCCCGCAGCCTCCCCCTCCAGCCTCCCGCTTCAGGTTCACTCAACAAATGCACCCTGAGCTCCTACTGCGGGCAGTTTCTGTGTTTTGTGTTTAACGAATAGAGGAGCAGCTGCACGAAGCACAGGTGGCCCCGCTCACAGCTCCTGCCTTGGGTCTGTACGCACCGTCCTTCGCCTCTCCCTGAAATGCGCGCAGGAAGGGGAGCGCGAGAAGGGGCACGTAGTCCAAGGGGAGGCGGCCCCCAACCAGTGCCAGGCCCTCTGGCCGCAGAGGCGGGGCTTGCAGAGCGGTGTGTCACCAGAACGCGCAGCTCCTGGGCGCCCCGGGGACAGGGGCGGTCCCCCTGTCCTGCTGCGCCCCCCTCGGCCCCCGCAGCACCTGCCCTGCCCCCGCGGTGGCCGCCACTGCCCCCCATTAGGGGAGATGCAGCCCCCACGCCTTCCCTGCGGCTCTGAGCTCTGGCCTTGGGGCGCCTGGAGGAGCCGCAAGCCTCAGCCCCCCAGGGCCCTGAGCCTGCGCCCCGATGGGGTCCACAAACCAGGCTCACCTGTCACGTCAAGGGAGTCCCCTCTGGGGGGCCGTCAGGTGTCATCTCAGGAGGCCCCGCAGTGGCCCTGTGAGCACTGCCATCAGGCCACTGGGCAGGTGAGGAGACAGAGGCCCAGACAGGCCCCCCGGAGTCGGGGGGGGGGGTGCACGGGCCGCTCTCCGTCCCCCCGGCCCCCGCGGGAGCCAGCTGTCACCCACCTTTCTCTCTCAGGTATGTCACCGTGAACCTCAGCACGGGGGGGATGAGCTCGCCGTGGTTTTTGTCTCTGAGGCTGAGGGGACAGAAGAGAGCAACGGTTTTGACCTGGGCGCGACGGGTGATCATGGCCAGCCCAGGGCTCCGGGGACAGACGCGGCCGCGGCCCTCAGGTGGCCCGGTGGCAGGAGTAATAGGAACGGAGGCGCGTGTCTGAGGGCCCGCCCGCGGCAGGCTCTCCTCCTCCACTTTCTCTGGGAGCCAGCGCTGGCCCTGCCTGACTGGACGACCCCCGGCCTCCCTCTTAGCCTTCCCAGACTCAGTTTCCCTGTCTGGAAAGCGGGATTGCGGGGAGCTGCGCACATTCAAAGGTGAAGGATGCGAATGGCTTTGCTAAGCTCTCAGTCAAAGGTACTGACCATTAAAATCCCCAGAAAGCCCGAGGCCGCGGGGCTTCCATGGCCAAACACCGGGGGCCCCTCTCACAGATGCAGACGCAGGCCCAGGGCCACAGGTCACAGGGAACCTGGGTCTGTTGACTCTAAAGCCCAGGCTAGTTACCCTCCTGGGAGGGGACCCAACTGAGACTGGGGGGGCTGGACCCCGAAGAGCGGTCATGCGATCGCTGCTAGACAAGCCCTTCGTCCGTCGCTTAGCCGATATTTTGAGTCTTAAGAGCGGACTTCCCGAGCGGGAGGGGCCTGGGAGAGCGTGGGACTGAGGTCCCAGAAGGGGAGGGTCGCCCCCATCACAGGCACCCAGCCCGCGGAACGGGGCGCTGGCCGGCGTTCAGTTACCGCTCCTCGTAGGGCAGGAGCCACAGCGGGGACTCCTCCCCCACCCTCCGAGCCGGCAAGCAGGGGCTGGCCCGGGATGGGCAGCGCAGTGTGGAGACTCACAGCCACTCCTGGGGGCTCTGGATAGAAGACGCGTGTGCTCCTGGCCCAGTGGGGACGCCCAGGGCGGCAGGGGGATCCCCTCAGGCCCCGCCCCGCCCCGCCCCGCCCCGCGCATCTCTGCATGTGTGTGTGGGCCAGGGCCAGGCTCCTGCAGGCAGGCTTGGACCATGTCAAACCCATTGAAGTTTAGGGGTGCACAGAGGGCGGGGGGCTCCCGGAGGCAGAGCGCAATTCACAGGGCGGCACAGCCCACGCTGGGCCAGCCGCTGCCCTGGGGGCCACGCGGGGATTCTTGGCACATAACTCTTGCTCACACTCCCTCCCCTCAGAAGCGCTCTGAGTGACTCGGAACAGGCCCTTTCCCTGGTTGCATGCGATGATGAGGCAGGAGGTGAGCCTGTAACTTTAAGAACAGGAGGAGCAGGGAGGGAGGAAGTGTCGCCTGAAGGTACAGTGCTACCGGGAGCGGAGCAGACCCTCCCCGCTGGGCCCCCAGGCTTCTCCCATCCTCCCAGTTTCTGGAACAGGGTGGAGGGCCGCAGCCCCGTGACGGACGGGCGAGGTCTCAGCCGCACGGTCGGCAGGCGGACCCGGGTGCCAGGAGCACCAGGCGGTGCCCACGAACGCCACAGGAGCACCGGGTCGTGAGGGTTTACTGCGCGCCGGGCACCCTACGAAGCCCTCTGCCTTCATCAGAGCCCCCGTTTTGATAGAGGACAAGCAGATCCAGGAGGCTAATTGTTCTATCTGACGTCACCCAGCCCAGGGTCGGATCTAACGTGACTCCCGGGCCCCTGGACCTGGAGCTGCCCAAGGCTGGGTGGGCAGCGGGGGTGCCGGGGGGCGGCACCAGGCCCTGGCAGGCTGCGACCCCCACTGACGGCCTGCCCTCCTTGGGAGATGTGTGGGAAACAGGAAACAGGTTCGCCTCACCAGCTAGCCGAGTCCCCCAAACTCCGATGGGTGGGGTGCTGGCGTGCCAGGCTGGCCCGCGACTTAGCCCAGGGCCGAAGAAGGCCCGGCCGACCGCCACAGCCTTCCCGAGTGGCACCTGGGGCAGGAGACCAAAGACCAGCGTCTCCGAGCACGAAGGGAAAGAGGATGGAAGGCAGACGCCCATCACCTCGACCCCTGCAAAATGCGTCCTGGCCGCCGAGGCCCCCCCACCCTGGCGGAGAAGCAGGGGCCCAAGGAGCCACGCGGTCCTGCTCGCGTGTCCCTGAATCTGTCGCCCTTGGGTCTTTAACAAAAGGGTATAACACGGGTACATCGAAAACTACAAAAGATCCCTGAAAAGAAGGGATGTTTTAAAGTCCAAATAAATGGAAAGTGTGCGTGGATTCAAAGGCACAGTGTTAAGATGGCTGTACTCCCCAAACTGATCTAAAGACAGCCCGGTCCCTATTGAAACCCCAGCTGCCTCTCTGCGGAAACTGACAAGCTGATTCTAAAATTAATATGGAAATTCAAGGGACCTGGAATAGTCAAAACGATCTGGAAAAAGAACGATGCTGGAACTCATATTTCCGATTTTGAAACTTACTAAAAGCTTCAGTGATAAAGATAGTGTGGCACCAGCATATAGATCAACAGATAAAATTAAGGGTCCAGAAATAAACCCTCACATGTATGGTCAATCAGCATTTGACAAGGGTGTCAGGCAATTCCATGGGAGGAAAATAGTCTTTTCAACAAATGGTCCCGGTTTGTGTGGAGTCATCTGGGAAGGCTTCCTGGAGGAGGGGGCTGTGAAGAAGGAATAAGAGCAGGCAAAGCGCTGGGCAGCAGGCACTGGCTCAGAGTCTGACACCCTGTTATTAAGCCCCCGCGGTCCTGGAGGGTGAGGAGGGTAAGGCTTCAACTCCAGGCACAGAGACGGAAGCTGGGGCTGCCTCACTTGACTTCCCAAGCTGGAAAGTGCCAGAGCCGGGCTGTGGCCTCCTCCTTCCTCCGCGGGGGCCTCTCCCTCTTCCCGCGAGGCCCGGCCTGTCCAGGCAGGACTGTACTAAAGGCACATGTGCATTTCCGTTTCCCCTCTTCAGGGACGGCAGGCCAGCGGAGACCTCTCGAATCGCTGGCTCCCCCTTCGCACACTAACTTAATTAGCTTACTCTAGGGTGGCAGCGTTCTGTTGTGTGCTTTTGAACTTTAACTCAGCAAATTAACACTTGCGAATAGGGTTTGGTTATGAATTTTAATGGTGTTTATTCTTTCAGAGACCAAGAAAATTGCACATCTGGTGCTTTATTTAATGTGTTTATTGCCATTTTATGATGGTCGTTCTCAACGAAACAGGGGAAAATGTTAATTTAAAGAGGCAATTGCACGGATCCCCTCTCAGAGCGGAAAACGCAGAATGTTTCCAATGCTTGTCCGGTGCCCCCACCCCTCCCCGCAGGTGTGAGGGACCGGTTTTCACAGTGACCACGGCTCCTGCTACGGGAGTGAACCCGGCTTTTCGAAGGGGTGTCACTGACACCTGCCTTCGATCTGGAGTTCAGACGCAGGGTCAGCACGTCCAAGAGGCACCTGCTCACACCCAGGACCGTGGGGCCCCGGGGGGCTTCACAGAGCAGAGGGGACGCCACAAATGACTAAGAGTCTCCCCCGTGCTCGGGCGGGTGGCTTAGAAATCCACGGGTGGGCGTGTTTCCAGCTTTTCATTTTTAAGGTTTTACTCGGCAATAGGAGGCAGCAGTGGCTCTGAACGACAAAGCTGGTCCAGAAGGTGCTGCTGGTCATCAGGATGGGGACTGAGGGTGGACAGGCCAGCAGCCTCGGCCAGGGCCACACAGGACCCCCGCGTATCAGAACACGCCAGCACAGCAGAGCCTCAGGACAGGCCAAACGGCAAAAGGGTCACAGGTGGGCGGGGCATCCCAGGGACCCTCCTGAGAGCAGAGCTCTCACCAGCGCCCCCAGAGGGGCCTGTGGTCACTGCGGGTCCACTGCCCACCCTGCCTTCCTCAGGCCTGCGAGGAGTGTGGGGTCACACCAGCACTTGTTACAATGTTTTAAAAAAAGCAAAGGAAGTGCCCTTTGGTGAACTGTAATTCCAGATACACAGGGTCCGGCAGAAGGAAGGCCTGCTGGAGCGTGGTTGGTGGGGTAACACCTAATACGGGTGTCATAATGTATAGTTTTAATTGGAACATTTCGCCTAAAATGTCACATGGTGTGCTGGAGTGTGACAGTTGCTACAGAATCATATGCTTACGATTCTGTAATAACACAGGGGCGTTATTTGTGTCGGGCCCTCTGTTAAGGGGAAGGACCCAGTAGAACAAACACTGTGTTCGGGAGGCGCACACAAAGAGCTTCTTTCAGGCCCCCCATGTGCGTGAGGCTGGGGAGGGGGTGAGCCCCACAGTCCAGGCCTGCCCTTGACTTAAACTAACTTAGAAATTCAGCGCCGGCCTGCGGACCAAAGGGTCGCTGGTTCGATCCCCCGTTGGGGCACACGCCTGGGCTGCGGGCCAGGTCCCCAGGATGGGACGCGCGCGAGGCAAGCACACATGGATGTTTCTCTCCCTCTCTTCCTCCCTTCCCCGTCTAAAAATCAATAAATAAGTAATCTTAAAAAAAAAGTTTCTTTAAAAAAAAGAAAGGAAGAAATTCAGTGCCGCAGTGGCATCAGCCCTGGTTCAAATGCTCAACAAGCCGCACGTGGCCAGTGCAGGCCATGCCTAGCACCCCGAAGTTCTGGAAAACCATGGCCCATCCTTGCCTGCTGTACCACGCCGAGGTGCCCCCTCCCCCGCCCCCGCACGCCAGGCCCCGCCCCTCCACAGCCACACCTCCTGGTCCCCACCAGCCCTGCCAGCCCCTGCCAGGATCCCTGGCAGCCCCTGTCAGGGTCCCGGGCAGACTGGCCTGGCCCGGCCCTGGGACAGGTTTCCGCCCAGCCCCTCCCCCTCATACCACAGACCACCGGTTTCCTAGTCCTGCTATAACTAATTACCATAAACCGGGTCGTTCAAAACAATGCAAGTTTATTATCTCGCCCCCTGGACGGGCCAGATGTCTCAAACGGGTCAGCGGGGCTGGGTTCTTTCCAGGGGTCCTAGGGGACGGCCCGCCCGCAGCCTCTTGCGGCTCCCAGGGCGCCCGCGCTCCTTGGCTGTGGTCCTGCGCTGTCCTGACCTCTGCTTCCGCTTCTGCCCTCACGTCCCTCCGACCCGGACCCTGCTGCCTCCCTCTTACGAGGGCCCCTGGGAGGACGCAGGGCCCACCCGCTCATCCAGGAGAATTCCCCACCCCCAGATCCTTCACCTAATCACACGCGCAAAGTCTCTTTTGCCACGTAAGGTGAGAGCGTACAGGTTCCGGGGACCAGGACCCCACGCCCACAGGGGCTACCGTTCGGCCCACCACCCGCCCCTCCCCGCCCTCCTTCACGCTGGGCCTGGAGAGAGGGGGTCCGGCGCCCAGTCCCACACGCCGCAGCGGGCACCCGCCTCAACGACAGCCTCAGGCCTCCCTTCCCTGCAGGGCCAAGCTCGGCCACCAGAGGCCAAGGCCTGGGGACAACTCCCCATCCCCCACCCCCCGCCTGAAGTGTCCCACGGTCCCACGGAGGAAACAAGAACCCCATGGCTGCGCTCACTTACTACTGCAGACTGACGCCAAACTGCTGCGTGGGCAGAGGGGGCCGGGGCGGCGGCGTCTTGGTGGGTGGGAGCGGCCCGCCCTTGCGTAGGTTCCGGAGCTTCTCGTCGTACCTGTGGACACAGCAGACGCCCGGTTCTCACCCGGCAGGGCAGAGCAGAGCCTCGGGCCGAGGGGCCGCCTGGGGGCCAGCGCCCTGGGGGCGCCTGCAGGACACCCAGGTGTCTCATCCTTCCGGGCCCACGTGCCACGCTGCCGTGGGTCTGTCTGTCTCTCTCGCACGTGCGCACACACGCACACCGTTGCTGGGGGTGGGGTGGCGTTCACAGGAAAGGCAGGAAGGGGAGTCCAGCCCCATCGCACCTGCAGCCTCTCCTGCCAACCCCGGCCGGTGTTTCGCCTGCACGGGTCTGCACGGGGCCTCCCCTCAGCTGGAAACGCTTTCCCTGGCTTCTTGACCCAGCCAATTGTCCCCCTGAAACCCACTTCAGGAGTCACCTCCTTCTGGAAGCTTCTGTGACACACCCGCCCCATTAGCCCCCTCACTGGCTGGGTGCAGCGCCTCCTGCGGCCTCTCTGCTCGCTGACCTGCGGCCCCTGCCACCTGTGAGCGTCCCGAGGGCAGGCGCTCCCTGCCCAGCTCTGTCCCCAGCCTCTGGCACATGGCTTGGTGCCTGGAGGGAGCTCAAGCTCTCCGCGGCCCCTGCAAGGCTGCCGCATGGCAGGGCCACGCGGGCGAGGGCCCTGTTCCCTCAGGGGGCGCCCGGGGAGGGTCAGGGGAACCCAGGGAGGGCCAGGGGGCACCCGGGCAGGGCCAGAGGCACAGGCTGGATGGGGCCCCACCTTGTACTGACTGTGGGGCGAGGGACACCACATGCCTACCTGGGCTCCCCCACTCCCCACCCCACGAGACACCAGGCAGTGGGGGCACCTCTGCCGTGTAAAATAAAGCAGCAGACACGCCAAGCAGGCTTCCAGCAAGATGCCGCTGAAGGCGCTCTTCTCCAGGGCACCTGTGACGTGCCTGAGAACGTTTCAGTCCAGTATAACCCACCACAGCCCCGAGAAACGCCCCAAGTCTTGGCTCCGAAGCAGAAACACCGGGCCCCGAGGCAGTGAACAGCCACTGCCACTGCGGTTATTTTTTAAAACCATTTTGCAGCGGCGGGTGAGAAAAACAGCGGGTCCGCGGGCGCCCCGGCTCAGGCCTGCGCCTCCGCATCGGCGGTCGGTGCCTTTCCTGCGCGTCCCTGCGGCTGCCAAGGGCTGAGCCGCGTCCGGCTGGCACAGCCCGAAACGAGGATTCCCCAGGAATGCGGCGGGCGAGACCCGCGGACACGGGAGGCAGTTGTCCGACTCACCGCACGACTTCCGGGGGGATGGCCAGCTGGTCACATCTGAGGTGCACACGGAGCTCACTCAGAGAGTTGAAATAGGTGACTTTTTTCCCAAACTTGTGACTGAGAATGCAGAAGAGATCGAAAACGATTAGACGGCCGCAGAGCGGCCGGCACCGGAGGCAGGGAGGCAGGGATGGGAGAACAAGGCTGGCAGGTTTGCGTGAACAGATGTAACTGCTGACACAACCTAGAACCTGCACACAACAGAGACTGCACACACCTGCAGACGCACCAAACACCGAGGGACCATCGGCATAAAAATAAACATCGGCCTCCAGTTTGCCTCTGCCCAGAATCTGGGGGGCAGAGGGTGCGGCAGGGCGGCCCAGGGACGGGCTTGCCCCTCGGCCACCCCCTCTCCCTGTGAGGGTCTCGCGACGGCAGGGACCACACCCGTGTCCTCTCCGGCTTCTCTCCAGGACGCTGCCACCCTGCGGCCCACGGTGGAGCCAGCACGGCCACAAGGCCAACCCACCTGCAGGGCCTCCGTCGCCCCTAGAAAACGGGGCTTCTCCCTCCCACGTACAGGCGACCGTCCGTCCCCGTAAACCGGTCCCTGCCCCACCCCGGCAGACACTGCTGCCCGTGTCCGTTACTATTTCTTAAATGCATTAACCTTTTATTTTTCATTTATAGCTGGCCTGCAACGTTGTTATTAGTGTCAGGTCACGGCGATTGGACATTTACGTAACGCACGAAGTGGTCCCGAGACAAGTCGAGTACCACACGCCGCGCGGTCACTGCTGCCCTGTTCTCACTCCGCTGTTACCAGGGAGCCTCGGTTTCGCTCGCTTGTCTTTGCGGCCGCCCTGCCTCACACGGGGCCGCACTCGTTCGCCCCGACACCCAGAGGAGCGCGGGCGTGTGCGTGCGCCGCGGCGCCGTCTCCACCATCAGGGTGACGGGCATAGCCATCGCCTCCAAAGCTTCCTTGCGTCTCTGCGTTTGTCCCCACCTCACACAAGAGGCACCCTCTGCGGCAATTTCAAGGGCATGACACCATATTGTCACTGCAGGCTGTGCCCATCCAGATCTCCGGAAACTCCCCGTGTTTGAAAACTGAAACTGAGCTGTTTTATCAGGAGACGGGCTTGAATCCAGAGGCGGGGGAGGGGCCCAGCCGCGTACACTGGCTCCCCCTAGTGGAAGAGAGGGGATCAGACGAGTGCCCGGACCCCCAGCCACCGGCCCCGAGGGGCAAAGGGGGCCTCGCTGCAGAACCGTGTGTGGGGACAGGGGTGGCCACTTCAGCGCTGCAGCCAGGCTCCCTGCCCCAGTGCAAGAACACCCTAATCTTTCCACCTCCAGCCGGCCAGGCGTTTGCTGGACCCCAGGCCCCGCAGGCGGCAAGCAGGGCTCAGGACTCTGTGTATTGAGGTGGGGGTCGGGGTGGTACAGGGCTCCTCCAGAGTCACCTCACACCAAGAGACACCCCGGGACGCTCCTTCTCAAGTCCCAGAAAGGCTGGGAAAGGGGAGAGGGCTCGAAGGCAGGCCTGGGCCTGAGGGAGCAGCCTGGGGGCGCGGACAGTGCGTGTGCAGAGTGCGTGAGTGCACGTGTGAGCACATGTAATCGATCGTGCGGCCGCTCGCATGTGTGACCAGGGAGGACGGGGCCCTGGGGGGCCAGAGTGGGGGCCGCGTACCTGATGAGGGGTTTGAAGACGTTCCACAGGACTTTGATGAAGTTGGTGGGGTGTACGACGTAGAGAGCCTTCAAGTTCTTCTTGTACCTAAGGGGGAGGGGACGTGACTTCCGAGCAGGACCCGCAGGGACACACTCGAGCCGAAGAACCGCCGGCTTCCGCCAGAGCCAGACGTCGGGCAGAACTTAGAAAGGATTCGAACCCGGGGAAAATCAGGACCCCTGCCCTCCACGGCCCCACCTACTCGTGCTCACGCACTTGGGGGCCACAGTGTGGGGGTGCGTGAGGGCAACGCGGCCCTGACTCTCGAAACAAACACCCCTTCTCTGCTGGGAACTGATTCTGGGGGAACAGGGAGTTTACTGTGTGGGTCACACAGGCTGCGAGATGGGCCAGAGTCCTACACAGCAGGGTGCCAGGCACCCACACGGCAAGGCACTAGGCACCCACTTAGAAACGAGGTGACGTGCCCTGGCTGATGTGGCTACTCAGTGGATTGAGCGCCAGCCTGCAAATCGAAAGGTCGCCGGTTTGGTTCCCAGGCAGTGGGTTGCGGGCCAGGTCCCCAGTTGGGGGCGCACGAGAGGCAACCAATCGATGTATCTCTCCCTGTCTTATTCCTTTCCCCTCTCTCTAAAAATAAATACATAAAAATTAAAACAAACAAACAAACAAAAAAACACTCCATGAAGAGTCGCAGTGCACTCGGTGGTAATCTCATGCAGTACCACTCTTAAAAAGAAAAACAAGGAACGAGGTGATTCTTGGCTTGCCTCCCTCCCTCCCTCCTGAATAATTCAGGCTAAAGCCGCCAGCCTGAGCCACGGCCGTTGGCATGCATCCCGGGTGGGGGCAGAGGCCGCCGGCCCGCGGGGGCAAGAGGGCCGGCGGGGCGGCCGTGGGGCCAGCTGAGCAGGGCTTTATGTTTGTACATGGCTGAAAAAAATGTAAAGGACCATAGCTCATGACAAGACATGTGAAAACAGAGCGAGGTTCACATTTCAGCGTCCAAAAACACTGCTACTGGCACACAGTTCCGCTTCCTCGTTCACGTGCTGCCTGGGCTGCGTCCGCCCTTCGGCAGAGTTCAGCAGTTGTGACAAAGGTCTGACAGCCTGCAAGGCTGACACGCTGCCCGCTGGCCCTGGCCGGCCACGCCGGACAGAGCCCCCCTCACCCCAGCTCGGCTGGCACCCCGCCCCGCCTTGCCCGAGGGCCCGCACACACTTCCTGTCGAAGTCCCGGTAGGCGCTCTGCAGCCACTGCAGGGACGGCTTGTTGCGGCTGTTCAGCCCGTAGTGGAAGTAGACGATGATGTAATCGCTCTCCACGTGCTGGTCCAGCGTGTACTTCAAATACCTGCGTACCCAGGACAGACGCGGTTGTGAAAGTCGCCCCCTGGATACTATTAAACCCAACAGGCTTCCCCGGGGGCGGACGCTGGGGTCCCCCAGGGGGCGTCGGCACCAGGCCTCGCAGTCACAGCGGGGCCACACCGAGAACCCACACATGGTGGGGCCGGATCCCCGTTTGTTAGATGACAGTTGAGACTCAGAGATGTTCCGTAACTTTCCTGAGGTCACACAGCCAGGGAGTGGGTGTGGTGGGCCAGAAAGAACCCCCGACACGTCCAGGTCACGTCCCGGATGGGGCGAGCGTGGCCTTATTGGGAAAAGGGGCCTGAGAGGAAGACCTACTCCTGGATGGTCCAGGCGGGCCCTAACTGCCGTCTCGTGTGTCCCGAAGGGGCAGAGATAACGAGGAAACGGCACCGGGGGGACAGCCACCTGGAGACGGAGGCTGAGCAGAGAGACGGCCCGGCCAGGGAGGGAGAGGGACGAGGCCGACGCGGCAGCCGTGGGAAGCCAGAAAAGGCAGGGTTCTCTCCTGGACCCCCGGCCCCCAGGACTGTGAGAGAAGGGACTTCTGTGGTTTTACGCCACCTCGCCCACCCCAGCGGCCACAGGAAGCCCGCCCAGAGGACGTGCTGGGGCGCGGCAGCCCTCACTCCCAGGCTCCCTCAGCTCCTCCTAGAGGCCGGCAGTCCCTCCTCTCTGGATTATCCCCCGTCCTCCCTCCTGTTCCTGGGGAGCAGGGTCCGGGCTCTGCTCTGCCTGTTGCCTGACCACACCTACAGGACGAGCTCTGCAGTCTCCACGGTCGCGTCTCGGGGACGACCCCAGCCCCCAGACCCCGCGGACAAGGCCTCGTCCAGCCGTCTGCACGAGACCGTGTGGCCCTCCACCTCGCTCTGGCAGGGGCTGCGGCACCGAGCTGGCCAGGTCGCGCGGTCAGCGGGCTGTGCTGTCCCCTGGGGCCCGTCTTGCAGTCCGCCCGGCCTGGTCTGCTCCCTCGCGCGCCACCAGGCCCACGGCGTGGACATGCGTCCCCAGAACCGCCCCACGAGTAAACTCAGCAAGGCTCCACCCCTGCAAGGGCGCGGCCCGCCCTCCCTGCCAGACGCCTTGGTGGGGACCTCTTCCTTTCACAAAAGGACGTGAGCGTCTCCTTCGCGGGTTTGATTTCTGAACGACACGGAGCGCCCCCCCGCCCCAGGCGCCGACCGTGAGGACGGCCGCCCGCCGAGGCAGGCACCGCTGCGCCCACTTTACAGACGAGGCCACGGAGGCCAATGCGGGGGCCCGGGGCCCGGGCGGCCCAAGAGGGCCCGAGGCCTGGGGCCGAAGCTCAGGACTAGCCGTAGCGCTGCCCTGGGCTGAGGGGGCAGCTGCCCGGCGGGCGGTTGGGTGACTTACACTTGATGTGGCATCTGCCTGGGGATCCGTGAGTCAATCTATATGTGTTAGTCTTTGACCCCGAATGTCCCTTCTGTGCTGAGTGGCGGAGGGGTGTGTGCACGGCGGTGGGGGGGGACGTGCACGCAGGGGTGCAGTCACAGGGCGGGACTTACTCTAGCAGGCGCCGGTGGTTGAGCTCGTGCGAGGGGGGCATCCGGCAGCAGCTGAAGGTGACGATGCGTCTCCCGAAGCAGTCCTCCCCTGCGGGAAGACGCAGGCATGAGCCTCGCCAAGACACCCACAGCCCCGGCGGCCGCGCCCGGAAAGCCCGCGGGCGCTACCGCGTGGAGGAACCACCGCCGGGCCGGCCCAGCTCAGCTGAGAGGGGCAGGCGGCCGGCCCACAGCGGAGGCAGCGCCTGCCGGACAGGCACCTGACGCGCGGACGCGCACAGGCTATTTACGGACGCGCGGGGCACGGTAGCCGAGCCCCCCTTCACCACCAGCCTGCATGCCGCCAACAGCCACTCCCGCTTTGCAATCGGAGAGCCGGGCGCAGGCGGTGGTCGCAGGCGCACAGCCACGCAGCGTGCCGTGCCGAGGGCACCTGGGGCTGAAATCTGGACACGGCCGGCTTCAAAGCTGGTGCCTGGCCCCTCTGCTCCCCCCACAGGGCCCCCGGGACTCCGGGCCCTGGAGAAAGCCGGGGTGGCCTGGGGGCTGTCGCTCCAGGCGTGACCTCTCAGTGCACAGGAGCCCGCCCGGAAGCCTGGTCGCTTGGTCCCGGCCCCGTCATGGCCCAGGTCGCCTGTGGCTGTCCGGACGTGTCTGTGCTCGCCGCACGCGGGACAGCCGGGGGGTATCCCCGGACAGCCGACCCCCAGCCTAGTCACCTGTGACCCAGAGTCCAGGCTCGCTGCTTGTGCCTTCGGCTCCAAATGTGCCCAATATCTATGTACTGATTGGCTGAAGGGTTGATGATAGAAAGATTACCAGAAACCTGAAGAAAATAAGGGCACCCTTCTAGAAAAGTGCACAGCTTTAAATTCATGTTCGTTATAAAGAAGTATTTATTTATTTGAGGGGGGGAAGGGAGGGACAAGGAGAGAGAAACAGCAACGTGAAACAGACATTGGTCAGTAGCTTCTCCTATGTACCCGATCGGGGACTGAACCCGCAACCCAGGCTGGTGCCCTGACCGGGAACCGAACCAGCGACCTTTAGCTTTACTGAGAGAAGCCCGACCCTCTGAGCCGCTCCGGTCTGGGCCATTGCCACGGACTATTTACGTCCGTTTTCCGATGTTCACTGGAAGCGAGACAGGTTAGCAACAACGCGTTCGCAGGCCCTCTGGCCCTGCAAGGCAACGCACGGAGACACCCCACGCGTGCCCCGCCCCCCACACACACGCGTGCTCCGACGGCGCCGGCCCGGCTGCCTGCCTGGACAGCTGCTGGTTATTTGAGACACGTGCCACTCCTCCCGGGTGCCTGGCGGCCACCCTGACACACAGGATTCCAGGCCTGTCTCGGCTCCCGGTGCGGCTGCCTCTCCGTCCCACACGGGCCTTAAGAATTCTGGTCCCGCTTTCCATCTGTTCGCAAAGCGCCCGTTCGGAGGGGCTGCCCTGAGAGCCACATTCGTTCACTTCCCTCGCCTCATGTGGGTTTCGACACCAGCCCGTCGGTGGCCGTGCCTGGGAGCGCGACCCGGTGTCCCAGCCACCACCTCAGAGGCTGGGGCTCAGGGCTCCCTGCGTCCGTGCTCGCCGGGGGGACGAACGGGAAACTTTGCTTCTGAAGTTGTGAACGGTCAGGACACCGAGGGGCCCTTATTCCTGAAGTCAGACCGCATGGCAGGTCTTGGGGACGCGCTAAATAATTCGGCGGACGGAGGGTCAGGTCCCCGAGCGTTGGCTGAGGGCCCCTGTGCCCGTGGCTCTGGAGACAGCGAGCAGACACGGCCCGGGGGACAGGGCAGGCACACGGGGAGGCAGGTCTCTGCCCAGCTCCACCAGCCGCTATGGGAACCGGCGGGGGACCCCTCTGGCACCCGCCATTTTCCAAAGAGTGTATTTATTTATTTTTAGAGAGGAGAAGGGAGGGGGAGAGGGAGAGAAACATGGATGCGAAGGAGAAACATCGATCGGTTGCCTCTCATACATGCCCTGACCAGGGACCGAACCCGCAACCCAGGCACGTGCCCTGCCTGGGAATCCAACGGGTGACCCTTCCCTTTGCAGGACAACGTCCAACCAACCGAGCCACACCAGCCAGGGCCGCCACACCCACGTCTGCAATGACCTCTACCCAGGCTGGGCCACGCTTCACAGGTGAAGGGCCCACCCCCCACAGGACAGGCCTCACTTCAGACACCAGTGGCAAGACAGGGTCCCCAGGCCCCCCACTTCTGGCTGGCTGGCTACAAATCGGAGGCTCCCGACACCCTCCGGCTCAGTGATTCTCCAGAATCGCTGACGGAACTCGGCAAAGGGCCCTACATACAATTGCAGTTTTTTACCCAGGACACCACTCAGGACCAGCCTGGGGGTGGGGGCGGAACGTGGAGGGGCGTCTGGGGGTCCTCTCCCTCGGAGGCAGGAACGTGGATGTGCCCCCACCGTGCCCCGGTGTCCAGGCTGTTCTGGGGTTTCACTGCATGGGCACACCCAGCTGAATCGCGACTCGATCCATCGACCCACAGGCATCGCTGATCGATCGAATCGCTGGCAGCTGGTCGAGCCCGGTCTCCAGCCCCCGGAGGCGGCAGCCCCCTCCCTCCAACCCCGCGCGGGTCTTCCCAGCACAGGGGCCCCACCCTGAGTAGTGCCGTCCGCGGGAACCATCCAGGGGGACCCCCCCAACAAGAACTGTCATGAATCACAGTGACGCTCCTGCCGCTTGGGAAATCCCAAGGATTTAGGGGCTAGCTCCCAGGCGCCAGAGACAAATGCCAGCCACATTCTTCACCACGGGGTCCCAGACCCCGCCCCCCCGCCCCCGCCAGCCCCACCCCCAGGAAGACAGGAACCGGGCACACAGCGGGGCCTCGCTGGAACTCTGGCCCGTGGTGGAGCAGCCTGGGGGTGGGTGAAGCCGACGTCTGTCTGACACTTAGACGCCACCCGCCACCCTTGCGGCGGGGGCTTGAATGGGAGGTGCTAGTGGGAAGGAGGGGTCAAGGCCCCCAGGGTGTGGACGGCCGACGTTGGGCTCTGGCCTGTGAACGTGGGAGCGGCAAGGAGGGTGAGGGACGTGCGTCTGAGTGGAGGATGGCCCGAAGCCACACGTGTGTGGGGGGTGGACGGGGTGAGGGGACAGGGACCGGGAGAGACCACTAGGACTAGGCTGTGGGTGGAGACGGGGGCGGGGCCCCAGTGCTGGCTTGGGCGGCCGGGCCACTTGCTGGAGAGCCAGTGCGGGTATGGGGGTGGGGGGCTAAGCGAAGCTGTGGACAAGGATGGACGTCCCCTCGAGGACTCCCGGCCTGGAGAGGCGATGCCTGGGGTGGACAAGAGGCCGGGAGGCCCGTGGGGGTGGGAGCAGATGCCCAGGTTGGTGGATCCCAGGAAAGAGGCTCATCGACCAAAGCCACCCCACCGGGATCCCCTCAGGGTCCTGGCAGGGACATGGGTCAGGCAGGCACCGCCTCAGCTGAGACAAAGCAGGAGGCAGAGCGTCCACAGCCCCACGACAGGGACAGACGGTCAGGAACAGGGGAGCCCAGCGCCCGACGGACACAGGGCCCTCGGGAGAGGCAGGGAGAGCTCCCCAGGCGAGGAGGGTGCGCGGGAGACTGCGGGGCCACCGCAGGGCCAGGGTGAGCAGTAGGAAATGTCCAACGAGAGGCCTCAAGCCAGACACTCAGGAACCCGAGACACGTGGGGTCTGCGAACGGGACCCCTCTGGGCAACGCCAGGTCACAGTGGAGTTTTGTTTTGTCTTTTTTAGCCTTGCCCAGGACATTTTCACTTGCTGTTTTTAGAGACAGAGGAAGGGAGAGAGAGACACCAGCCAGGGCACAGCAGGTTCTCAACACGGCCGGCGCCAGCCCTGGCCGGGCGGCGCCGTTGGTTGGGCGCCGTCCCACGCACAGAAAGGCTGCGGGTTTGATGCCAGGTCACAGCACGTGCCTGGGCCGCAGGTTCATCCCCAGCTGGGGTGCGTACGGGAGGCAACCCATCGATGTCTCTCTTCCCTGCCCCCTCTAAAACCAATAAGTGTGTCCTCGAGTGAGGACTAAACAGAAGCCAGCACGCGCCGGCCCCGCTTCCCTCCCTGCCCTGCTTCCCTGGTTTGCTGCAGGTGGGTGGGGCGTGCACGGCCCATTCGGGCACCTGACTCACTGCTGGCGGGGCCTGTGGGAGCCGGGGGAGGGGCTGCCGGCCTGCTGGCCCCGGGCGTGGGACAGGTGTGGAGATAAGGGCAAAAAACGCCGGTGAGGGTCAGGACGAGGAATTCCCACCCAAGAAGCCTGCGCTCCATCCAGCCAGCAACAGGAGTATGAGGGGTGCAGCCCAGGCTGCAAGTGCCCCCCTGCCCTGCTCACCCCCCCCGCCCCCCCGACGCACATGAGAACTCAGCAGGCGGCAAGGCCCGGGGTTCCGCCCCACACTGGGTCCAGCTCCTCTTGCCCACTGGCACCTGCTCGCACAGAACCTGACATGCTCACTTGCTCCTCAATAAACACGCGCGCCTCTATCTGCAGGGCCCACTGGCCCCGCTGGCCCCGCGGCCGGCGCAACACTCAGCCACGGCAGCGAGTTACTGCGGGAGCTTCGCCTCCCCCAAAGCCCAAAGGGCGGCTCCCTCCACCTTTTCTTTCCACATCAACAAAGGTCTAAGTGTCCAGCCAGAGTGACAACACCACAGCATCGTCGACATGTACGAACTGTCAGGAAGCTCCCAGCAAGCGCGGCGCTGCGGACGCTGGGCTCCTTCGGTCCTTCCCCTACGGCTGCTGCAGTGGAAAAGCTCTGCGAGGGGCAGTGTGAAGGGAAGGCGGGCGGGAAAGCGAAGGCCTGCACCGGGCCCCTGGCACGGCCCCCATGATCATCCGCGATGCAGGGAATGGGACAGGCCCGAGGGGTCCGGCAGGGGCGCTCTTTCATTTGTGGGGGAGGAAGCTGAGGCCCAGGGGCCAGGAGAGCGACCGAGCCGCGCATGCTCACAGCTGGCTGCCTCCAAGGGAGGCCCCTGCAGCCGGCCAGCCTCCTCTGCCCCTGGGAGCCCCCCCCCCACCCCAGCGGGGAGGCCCCCGCCCTCCACAGCCCTGAGGACCCGGGACGTTCAGCCCCCACACCTTATTAAGCAGTCACCACGGCAACTGTGTTAACGACATCAGTCAATATGAGTAAATGCCCTTTCACTGCTCTGCGGGAACACAGGCCAGTGTATCAAACACAGGCTTCAAAATGATAGAACGTGGAGGGAAATGAAAACTGCCCATAAAATTCAAATGCTGCAGGGCATCGGCTCACTTCGCGGCCCCCCCCCCCCCCCCCGGCTCTTTACAACACCCCATCGCTCACTGTCTCGGAGAAGCCCCGGTCCCTGACCCGCTCCGGAGGCTCCCTCTCGGCTGCGGAGGGGAGGTGGGCCGGACGCATAAGGAGGCAGCAGCGACCGGAGCCGGGGCGACCGGGGCCCCTGTGCTTGGGGGTTCGCTGGCAGGTGGCTAGCCTTTTTGCAGAAGTCTCTTCATCTGCGTTCATCTGCAACCTGGGGGAAGCCCCCTGGGTCTGAACAGGCCGCGTGGAAAGATCTGGGTGCGGCGGTGGTGGCGGGTCACCTGGCAGGACCGGATCCCCTGTGTCCCCCCCTCTTCTTTCTTCTCTGCGCCGCCCGCTCCGCGTGTCTGAGTCACACCTCCAGCCTCCCCTGATCCCGGGGGCCCAGACCTTCCTCCCTCCGCCCCCGCTTTCCGCCCTCCAGTCTCCCCTTTGAGAACCTCCCTGCTGGGCTCGCAGCTCCAGCCCCCAAGCCTCAGAGGACCACTGCTTCCAAAACTATTTCAATCACCGTTCTTTACAAAGCACTCTCACAGAGTTACAATTCCAGCGCATAAAGCTTCCGCTGGGTCACCTCTGCCATCCCTTCGGTAATGACGGGTCATTTCCATGTTATTTGTGACACGTCTGGTTTCCGGCCGTGGCTCTGAAGCTCAGCACTGGGGAGCAGTGCCCGGGGGAGGGAAGTGAGGCGAACCCCTCGGCGGCAGTGACGTGTGGTCACGCCTGAAGTAGGGCCCTGGGCGGGGCTCCGGAGAGGCAGAGGTCCAGGTCCTGACCCGTGCCCCCGGCCGCCCGCCACACAGGAGTGTGAACTGAAGTCAGGGACCAGGGAACAAAGCCGGGGCCGAGGTGAGGCTGGGATGGCGGGGCAGAGGACGTGCCCTCGTGAGGGGCACCAGGGCCTGGCACAGCCACCGGCGATCTCAGGGATGCGGCTTTTGCTCTAATAGTGACCTCTGTCCTTAGCGCTGATTCGCACAGGTCGAGACGTTTTGCTGCCCCTGGTTTTGTCCTCTGCCTATAAACTCAGTGTCACCCACGTGCAGAGTGACACTGGTTCCAGCCAGGCGTCTCCCCACCCCCATCCTGATGATCTCGGTACGGCCATCATATGCTCTTCTGAGACAGCTGCCCTTCTCAAGAAGCTGGGGTCTAAATGGGTGAGAAGCCCACTCCAAAATAAGGGAACCGTCTGGAATCCCAGGATCGCCCCCTCCCCCGCCCAAGGAACTCCAGGACGGCGAGGGCGCGGCTCCAGGGTGTGCCTCCCACTGTGAGGGCGGCACAGCGCGTCTCTACGACAGGCCTGAGCACACGCCGAGGCCGCCCGCAGTCCCCCGCCATGGTGCTGAAGGACCTGCAACAAACCGCAGGGACACCGCAGCATCCGCCCGGAAGGAGCCCCCCAGCCCAGGCTGCTTCCCAGGGCCCCGGTGCCTTAGTCGTTTCCCTCTGGGCGCCTGGAAACCTCACCCCACCCAGCAGGGGCCCTCCCCTGCCGCGCTTCCCTGGCCGTCCAGCAGGAGACTCAAACCCGCTCCAACCCACCCCTCGGCCCGCGCGCCACAGCCACACGCAGCGCGGACAGCCTTCTCGGCCGTCGGCCCCGCCCTCCTGCAGCCGCCATCGCCGTCCTCCACAGCCCGGCAAGGAGGGTCACTGCGAACCTCGAACCCCTCGACAGTCCCGCAGGACGCTCCCCAGAGCCCCCGGGACTGAGAGCGAACCCCTCAGCTTGCCCAGCAAGGCACTGAGAACACGGCCCCTGCCACGCGGCCCCCTGACGGAGGTGAGAACGCTCCCAGGTAGCACGCGCACTTCACGCGCGAAGACCCAGGCAGCGGCCCTGGCCGGGTGGCTCCGCCGGGGGCGGGGGGGGGGGGGGGGGGCGGTCGTCCCGCTCACCCAGGGCTGTGGGTTTGATTCCCTCACCCAGGGCTGTGGGTTTGATTCCCGGTCAGGACACACACCCAGGTTGCAGGTTCGATCCCCGGCTGGGACGCCACCAATCTTTGTTGCTGTCTCACATCGATGTTCCCCCGCCCCCGCCATTTCCTCTCTCTCTAAAAGCAATAAAAAAAAAACGCAACCTCAGTTGAGGATTAAATACATTTTAAAATTAAATTACATTAAAAAAAAAAAAAAGAGGCGGGGCCGAAGGGACAGGGCTCTCCCCCAGCACCGGCCGGGAGGAAGCTGGTGCGCGGCCGGAACTGGGTCCGCACCCGACGACCAGGCGAGGGGCACCCACGGCAGAGCACTGCCTGACACAGAGGCCACTCGAGGATGACAACGCGGTCCGCACACCAAGACGACGTAACGCTCCTGAATGCATATGGCCCTAGAAACAAGGCGCCCCCACGCACGCAACAAAGGGGACAGAACCAGGACACGTACGCCCTGCAGCCCTGGGCTCCCGTCCGGAACAGAGAGGAGCAGCAGCACAGGGCGCGGACGTCCGGGCCAAGTAGGGCCTGCACCCCCCACCCCCCGACCCGAACGGCTGGGCTCCAGACCCCTCGACGACGCTCCTGAAGATGATCAAGGAGCTCAGAGGGCTACTCAAAAACCACGTGGGCGTTGCCATGGACACGTACCACGTCAGAAACCTAACACAGAACGTTTTAAAATATTTATCCAGGCTCGTGTCTCTCTCCCCACCATGCCCTCTCCTTTCTTGGAGAGTGAATAAAAACTTTATCCTCTACAAAAAAAAAATTATTTTTAAAAGAGTAATAAACCATTGCATGCTAATGTAAGTCATGTATTTTTGATGTCTTGTTAAAAGTAACTCTATTTCCGCCCTGGCCAAGGAGCTCTGTTGGTTAGAGCATCATCCTGATACGCCAAGGTTGCGGGTTCTATTCCCCATCAGGGCACATACGAGACTCGACCAATGAACGCATCAATAGGAGAAGCAACGAATCAATGTTTCTCTCCCTCGTCCTTCCTCTCTCTCTCAAATCAATAAAGAAAAGAAAAGCGACTGTATTTCCTGCCTTCCTTTTGTGGGCACTGGATCCGTGGGCCCACGCCCCCCACAGCCACTCCAGCACCCCGCCCCTTTTACCTTGACCCTAAAGGTTTCCCGAAAAGGCCATTAGGGACTTGAGACGCCTGGCCACCCGCGGACGCTGCCCTCCACGCTCGGCCTGGGCCGGGCAGGCACCGGCCTGACTCCCGCTCCTGCCTCTGCGGCCTCCCACGACTGAGACCCCTGCTCATCAAGGTCCAGCCCCTGGGAGATGGAGGCGAACCAGAGCTCAGACCAGGGGACATGGAGGTGGGTGTGCCAGGTCATGGCTGTGACAGCTAATTCCCCGGGTCACCTGGCTGGGTTCAGGTGGCTGGTGAAACATCACATCTGCGTGTGTCTGTGAAGGGTGCCCAGGGGACCAGCGTTTGGATGCACAGACGGAGGCAGGAGAGGCTCCGTACCAGCGCGGCAGGCACGACCCCCCACCTGGGGTGGCCCCAAAAGCACGAAAGGGTGGAGGACGGGGGAGCGTGCTGCCCGGGGGAGCTGGGACAGCCACCTTCTCCTGCCCTGGGACGCTGGTGAGCATCGGAGCTCTGGGCCTCAGGCCGTGGCCTCCGGCAGGGGCCGCCGGCTCCCCGGGGGCTCCACTCGCAGCTGCAGGGCGCAGGGCTTCCCAGCCTCTGTCGCTGCGGGAGCCGGTGCGCCCAGCAAACCTCCTTGCGCCTACGCTCCGCAGGTCCTGTCGGCCCCGTTCCTCGGCAGAACCTGACTACTGCACGCGCTGCGAGCGGCCCTTTCCCTCCGGCCTAATGAAGAGGCGCCATTTCCCCCCGGCTGCCTGCCGAGCGTGGGGCGGCCCGTCTTCTAAGTGCGACAGGTGCTTGTTGCTTTCACTGACATGTGGCCAGAGTGTCTTTGGTTAACAAAGTGATGCGTTTCATTTCGGCCTCTACTCTTTGAAGGGTGGCAGGACGCTGCCTGGTGGCTTCCCAGGGCACCCGGGCAACGCTTGGACAGGAGCGTCCTTTGCTCTTTCAAGACACTGGCAGGCATGTTGTTTCCTGTCGCGGTTTTCATTCTGTGGGCTCAGCCAAACTGGGGGGAAGCGGCCTGAGGTGCCCACCCCAAGCCACGCGGCCCACAGCAAGGCTGGCACGGTGGGTGCTCCTGGGGGCCACCCAGCCGGGACTCACCTGCCACCTGCAGAATGCCGTGCCTGGCCACGTCGTAGAAGGGGTGGTGCATGCTCAGCGCGGGCTCCTGTCCTGCCACGGGTGCCACCGAGGGCCTTCTCACTGTGCCCAGCACAGCCGCCTCCTCCTCATCTCTCCGCAGCTCTGAGGCAGACAACGAGAATTAGAGGAAGTCGGCTGCACCCTCCAGGAAGGAGAATGGGGGGAGGCTCTTCATATAGGACAGTCACCGAGCCTCAGCTGTGTACCCACTAAGTGCCTGTGTCTGCTGTATACCCACTATGCACCCACTCAGTGTGTACCCACTGTATACCCACCTCTGTGTACCCACCATATGCCCGCCTTTGCTATGTACAGTGTGTACATACATACCTCTCCTGTGCACCCACTATGCGCAGCACCGTGGAAGAAGAAAAACGAGACCCAAGGGCTGAATATTGTCCTCCACACTGACAGAGGTGGAAACTGAGGCTCAGAGAATGACTTCCCTAAGGCCACACCGCTGGCTGGCAGCAGGGTGTGCACTTGAACTCCATTTCATGCCTCCAAATTATGCCTTGGGCCCAAATTCTGCCTCAGCCCGTCCTCAAAGACCCCGACCCTGGCAGCTGGCAGGAGCCGCGGGGGCGGGGCGGGGCCAAGGGCAGACCCTGGGTCACCGAGCTAGGAGGCAGGAAGAACGTGCTGTTGTCGGAGGCTGCATCTTAGAAGGGGCAGTCCTTCCTACAGAACAAGCCCAGGGCCTCTCAGAAATGTTTTCAGCGGGAAAAAGGATGGGCGCTCCGAATCTCAGGTTGGGGCGGACTCCGATCCCCAGGTGCCCTGGGCGGAACAGCATCCCTCCAAACTCCTGGCCTACCTGGAACCTCACAGTGTGACCTTATTTGGAAACGGTGTCTTTAGGGATGACGTGAGTCCAGATGAGGTCACGCCGAGGACAGCAGGCCCTGGGTCCTGCCGCGGCTGTCTTTGCAGGAAGGGGAGAAGGGACGCCAGCGAGGGAGAGCACCCTGGTACCTATTTCGGCCAGCTCCTCCGGGTCCAGCTGGGACATGCTCTGCTGGTGGGCAGCGTGGCCTGGGAACTCCGTCGCGAGGCCACCTCTTAGGGATGCAGGCATGGGGTCCTTCCGACGCCCTGAGGAAGAAGCACATGAAACCCAGGGGCTTCCACACGAGTCCCCTGGGCGGGGCTGCGTCCCGCCAGCCAGCCCTGCGGTCTTGGGAGGGCTGGGCGGAGGGCAGTGGGGGTGGGAACAGCACTGGCAGGGCCCACGGACTGCCTGCCGGGACACCTCCCTCAAAGACACGCAGAGGCGCTCCTGCACCCATTTTACGGAGCGGGTAACTGAGGCCGGCAAAGGTCATTCAGACCTGCTCGTGGCTGTGCAGCTGGTCACCGTAATTAAAGCCAGACTTCGTTACCCTGCATGCGGGACGCTGCTTCAACACCGCATACATTTTCTAAAGTCCCTGTTTATGTCCAAACAGAGTATTTTACGTCCATAAAAAGGGATGAAGTACAGACACCTGCTACAACGTGGATGAACCTCGAAAACATTACGCTGTGTGACAGCCGCCAGACACAAAAGGTCACATATTTTTTAATTCCATTGATAAGAAATGTCCAGAAGAGGCAAATTCGCAGACACAGGGGATGGTGGCTACCAGGGGTCACGGGGAGGAGGGATGAGGGAGGTGACAGGTACGCAGCACGGGTTCCTTCTAAGGCGGCGAACATGTCCTGAAATTGCCTGGGTGACGGTGGCCCACTCTCGTGAATTCACCAAACCCCTAACTTGCACGTTGTCAGCAGGCGGACTGCGAGGTAAGGGAGCGGCAGCTCAATTGCTTGTTTGTTTAAATGAACAAAGCAGGGTAAAAACAGCACATAAGATTAGCCCAGTATTTTAATAGCAAAAAAAAAAAAAAGTACAACATTAAAAGAAATGTTTTCCATGGGTTCTGGGAATAGGGTTTGTAAATCCTTGTATTTTTCCAAATCCTGTATTGCTCTTAATATGAGATAAAGTTACTTGAACTAAAAATGCATGATTGAGTCCTGGATGGTGTGGTTCAGTGGATTGAGTGCCAGCCTGCGAACCAAAGGGTCGCCGGTTCGATTCTGGGTCACAGCATGTGCCTGGGTTGTAGGCCAGGTCCCCAGTAGGGGGCGCGTGAGAGGCAGCCACACACCTGATGCTTCTCTCCCTCTTTCTCCTTCCCTTCTCTTCTCTAAAAATGAATTTTAAAAAATGCATGATTGATAATAGAAATATTTTAGGGATGGAAAAATATTAAAAACCTTGCCTTCTTCAAAAGCAAACAAGCAAACAAACAAAAAACCCTCCCTGTTTGCTCAGTGCCATTTTCATCTCCATTTTACAGATGAGAAAACTAAGGCGGAGAGAAGGGTGTTGCCGCCCTGCCCCCAGCCCACTAGGGGGCGCCGCTGTGGGGCGGCGTAGTTCTCCAGGACACCGGCAAGAGGCAGGGGGCGTGCAAGAGGCAGGGGGAGTGCGGGGCTGCCTCCACCCACCTCAGGGGAGGGGTCAGAGTTCAACAGCTGCCCATGATTACACACGGGAATATAATTTAAAAATGAAAGAAAAAAAAATCTCCACAACTCCACTCTTGGACAGACACCCTGCAGACTGGGCACCCAAAGCCCCGGGCTAGAACGTTCTGAGAGGCACTACAGAAATGGCCCCACACAGTGGCCAGGGAGGTGCGGACGTGGGCCACGGCCCATCCCGGGACGCCCCCTGCTTCTCCCACCTCCTTCCCAGTGCTCGCCTTGGCACAGGGAGATCCCGGTTTCGCCAGCGCTCAGCCTTCCGGGAGCCTCGGCCGCGGTGACGCGTGCTGCTTTCGACCAGCCTCCTCCCCGACCTCCCTCCCTGGGCCCAGGCGGAGCAGAGCCCTGCCCTGTCCTCTCACTGACTCACACTGAGTCCTGGGGGGCAGGGCAGGTGCGGGGAGCCCAGGCCAGGGAGGGCGTGGGGGCAGCGGCAGTGCCCCGGAGAGACAGGCCCTGGGGCGGCAGGCAGGCGAGGTCTCGGGGCCGGGGGCCACTCACCCGCACGTGCACACCGTGCCCCGGCCCCCCTGGGCTGCAGCTCTGGGCCGGCGCCTCCGGCAACGGCCTCGCCGCGAGGCTCCCCCCGCACCGGTGTGCAGACGGCAATTCCACGTCAGCCCCCACCACCCACATCTCACACCACAGCACCCCCAGGCCCGTGCCCACGTTCTTCCGTGGTCACCTGAGCCTGCAGGGCAGGGGGCGGGTGGCAGCTGCCAGCAGCTGGCCAGGGCCCAGTGCACACACACGGGCTCAGGTTTCTCCCTGGCAGGACGTGGGCACCGAGCGCCAGGCAGGGGAGCTTAGCGCTCCCCCCGGGCGCCACGCCAGGACCCCACCGCCACCTTCCAAGATGGGGGGCAGCCCACTGGGGAGCTGGGAGGGCGCTGGGCCTGGGACCTGTACCCCCACCTGGCCAGGAGCCACGCCCAACTTGCAGGAAAAGTGAGAAAAGAAATTCCATCACCTGCCCCCCCAGCTCTGGCCGCACCCAAGGCAGCTGGTCTGCAAGACGCGCTGAGCGCTGGCCGGGAGGCCGGGGGACCTGAGAACTTCGTCGTTGTCATTGGGCCGCCCAACCAGCCGGGCTGCCAACCGCAGGGGTGCCCCGGGCCGGGCTGCCCTGGGGGACAGGCCTGTTGGGGACTCGCTGCTGCCGTCCTCCCACTGATACCTCACAGCAGTCCCTTAAGTCTGATGAGGGAAGGAGGCCGCCTGTCCCCACTCCCACCCCCTCCTGCGCACCCCCCGCCTCTGAGGGTCCCTGGGCCCTTCGGTGAGCCAGCCCAGAAGGCTAACCCTGTCACCAGCCAGGCAAGCAGCAGTGACGCCATCTTCTGAAAGTACAGGGGCACCTCCTGGGGGACCGCCCACTCCCCCATGGGACGGGGACGCAGGGGACGTGTCGAGAACATCTTTGCCTGAGAGCCTCGCAGGAGGCCCTGACCACCAGGGTGAACAAGTGAAACGGCCCTTGCCCCCTGCCCGCGGGGAGAGGCCTCCCTGCGGCCCAACGGCCCGGGCGTGCGGCCGAGGCCTCCGGGGTCCGCGGGGGAAGCGCTCGGAGCGCCCAGCCTCTGAACAGGGAGCGTGTTTCTCCTCCAGACTCTGCTTTAACCGATCAGTGACATTTCGTCCCTTTTTCCTTTACAGGCGCAAAACCTTTGCCCTGTCGCCTGTCTCTGAAGGCACAGATGCCGTCATTTGTTTTGGAGTTTGCTGGCCTGGGCCTGTGTCACCCGTAATCCTTTGTTTTGGCAACGGCTAGCTGGGGACAGGGGGGAGCCTGGGGGGCGGGGGAGCCCTGCGGGCTCCATCTCCCCAAAGCCCTACAGCCGCGAGTAAGATACAGCCCGGACCGGAGTCCCGCGGCCTCTCCCCAGAGGCTCCCGGCCCCGCCTCCGCCAGATCTCAGGCTTGTGGGCCCCATGGCGGCACACGCTGACACCTACGCCCATTTACACGGTCGGCCTTCTGCATCCGCACGTTCCGCACCCACTCAACCAGCGATCAAAGTATTTATTTTAAATGTTCCGTTGTTGCTGACCTATACTATTGAGGCAGGAGATAGTCAGGAAGGAGGGAACTCCAGAGGCGCCCCAGGAGATAAAGAACATGGATAAAGGGCGGAGACCCTGTCCTAAGCCTGGTGGTTTCTGCATCTGGAGAAGCGTTGAATCCTAGTGAATCAGGACTGCCCCTGCGCAGAAGATGCCGCCTGACCCCTGCTTCATTATAGCGAATTAGCACTGTGGGGCCCTCTTCCCCGTAGCCAATCAAGGAAAGGGAGACCTGCCCTACGGAATAAAAGTCCTCTAGCCCCTGAGTTGGGCCTTTTTGCCCTGCTGCTAGGCTCTCCTTTCTTCTCTGCTCCACTCTGCTCAGAGCTGGCCTGCTCCCATGTTCTGTGTGGCTTAATAAATCTGCTTTTCCTCACTTTCTGCTATAAACTCTGTGTGTTCGGTTCCATTTTTTGTCCGTGATCACCAAGAACCTGGTTACCTGTGCCCACCTGTGACACTATGTAGTTAGGCCTTGGCTGTACCTGCATGGAACATGTGAAGACTTTTTTTTGTCATTATTCCCTAAACAACACAGTATAAAAACTATTCATTAGTATTTATGTTGGATGAGGTATCACAAGTCATCTAGAGACGATTCCGATACACGGCAGGATGTGCGTGGGTTACAGGCAAACATCACAGCATTTTGTACAAGGGACAGGGGCGTCGGCGTAGCTTGGTGTCTGTGGGGGGTCAGGGAACGAGTCCCCTTGGTTACCAAGGGACAGTTGTATAAAAATACCTCCTCTAGGTTCTGTTTCTCTGGAGAGCCCGACACAAGCCTCTTACACACTCAGATTTCTCCTCCCCGTGAGTTATCAGTCGCAAACAGCAGAGCCGATCCCCATAAACATCTCGCGCCGCCAGCGGTCACTGGACGACGGGAAAACCGAAGCCCAGAGTGGGTGAGGGACTTGCCCAAAGCCACACAGCAAGTCCGGGGTGAGCTGCCTCTGGAAACCAGGTCTCCTGACTCCAGCCTCGAACCGGAAGGACTCCACGTCGGACGGGAAACGTCATTTTTTTTTAATGCCAGAAAATAATTAAGCACTGGGCCACGTACCACCCCACCAACCGGCCGATTCTTTCCCGCCCGCATCTAAGGCTGTTGTCCAAGGCGCCCTCCCGTCCTAGGCCCGTCTTTGCAGCGGGACCCCCGCTTCCTGGAACGCTGCTGTGTGCGCCGTCACTGAAATCTCAGGCCACCAATCCATTTCCTGGCATTTCCTACGGGTCCTCCCAGGGGCCTGCTTGTAACTGAGGGACAAACCTGTGCCCGAGAAACTATGCATTGTCTAGGTCGCGGACGGCCCCTGGCTGACTTGGGGGGGGCATACATCTGACTCACCCTCTGGCAGCCAACCCTGCAGGCTGCGATAAGAGTTGGCAACACAGTCATTCTTGTCTATAGACATGCAAATTCTGTCCCATTCACTTCGGTCCCCTCCTCCCCCTCCTCCCCACAAGTGCCCCAAATGTGCCTCCATTTGCCCT